CATGAAAGTTTGAACCCCCCCCCCTTTGAAATTAATAAGTCATTGAAAAAATTTAGTATAATTATGTGGTTGTTCTTGAGCAGTCCCAGTCAGCCCAATCTGAATGATTCCATCAAAGTCAAGTAAATTCATGAGTGACCCACAAATCCAGCACATTCTAATGTAACATGTTTTAGCCTCAGTCTTTATTTATAGCCTGTTATGTAGAACTTGTGTGCAATGCAGCAAAGCAGTTAGGATTGATTTCATCCCAAAAAAATGAAATGCTTCTTGTCAAAAGTCTTGAAGGCTAGGTAAAAGCCACAGCAAAATCTCACTAGAAAGATCATCATTGAGAGTAAATGAAAGATTTACTAAAGATTACCTGCTTTCCAATACAAGAGCTGTCCTGTACACAGATTCATATTGTAACAGCTCATTTAAGAGGGTATAGCTTTATAGAGTATGATAAATACATGTTTATATACTGTAATTTTTATGCATACACGAAATCAAAATATTGTAGTTAGAAGTTAGTCAAAGCATTTTGCAAGAAAGTTCATAAAGTTATTGAAATCAGAACAGAAATGCAAGTAAAATTCAAGACAAAAAAAAAATTTTCAGACAGCATCCAAGATGTGGTTAAGATATTTAACTTCAAGAATAGTTATAATAAAAACAAAAATAAGAGAAATAATATTAGGTAGAGGAAAAGCCAAGCAAATATAGAGGCTTATGAATATAAGCATTCATGACAAAACTGTTTTGGGAGATGAAATAACATTTATGCTTGCTTTTACCACCTTTGAAGCTTCTAACTGAAAAGGCCGAGTGTCATACTAAACCTCAGTATTGACGTGTGTGTGTGTGTGTGTGTGTGTGTGTGTGTGTGTGTGTGACAGAATTATTTGCATATTTTCAAAGGAAATGCAAATATTTGCAAGTACTTACTGAATTTGCCATAAATAGTCAATTCCGTACATACTTTTGAATTAGTGAAATTTTTAGAAGTTTCAATCTATTATATTCATAGTTATAGATTTTTTTAAAAAAAATTGGTCAAGTCCAAAATTATTTGCTTCCCTTATGGAAATTATAATATTGCTCTATGGCAATTGTAATGTTTATTTTTCTTCCTAATTTGACATTTAATGCAAATACCATTTGAAAATGAAATGGTGTTGACCTGATTCTATAACATTCTAAAAAGGTAATGAAGATAATACAAGAGTGCTGCATACTGCAATAACTCATTTGTTCTGCAACCATGGTGAAGACTGCTGAACTTGACAAGCTGAAGATTGTTGTATATCACCTTGTTTGTATGCATCAACTCTTTCCAAGCATTTAAATGTCCCTAGTTTGACAATTCATAGCATTATCAAGAAGTACAAGATGTGTTGAGAATAAATTAAGGACTGGCAGAAAACAGTTAATTTCCGAGATAATGGAAAGGAAAATTGTTAGAGATGACTCAAAAACAAAAATTAAAAAATCCTCACTTAACAACAATGGATATTGTCAATGATGTAAAGATGTCAGTGTTAAATGTATCAACAAAGTCACTAGATGCAGGACTTCAAACTTGTCACTCAAGGAAAACTCCCTTGCTTAAGGCTAAACACCTAAAATAGAGATTAGCTTCTGCTAGAAGCCATCTAGAACATAGTAAATATTGGAACTATTTTATGGCCAGATGAAACTAGACTAAAATTATTTGGTCAGATGAACTCTAGTTATATATGGAGGAAAGTGAATGAAACTCACAAACCAAAAATACCTTCCCTACAATTAAACATGATGGTGGGAGCATTCTGCTCCGGAGATGTTTTACTGCTTCTGGACCAGGAGAACCAGTGAGAGCACAGGATATCATAGATAAACAGCAATATTTGGCTATTCTTAAAAATAATATAAAACAAAGTGCGTGAAATCTGTCTTTGGGGTGTCACTGAACGATCCAGCATGACAATGACCCCCCCCCCCCAAAAAAAAACACATGGCACAAATTGTTACAAAATAGATGACATCAAAATTGAGGTATTGCTATACCCAACATAAAATCCTAACCTAAACCCCATTGAAAATTTATGGGCATATTTGAAGAAAAAAAAAAGTAAGAGAAAGAAGTCCTTCAAATTTGTAGGAACTAGAAGCTATTGCCAGGGAAGAATGGAGAAAAATACTTATCAGTGTGTGTAGTGATCTTGTAAGTAACTATCAAAAACAATTAAAGGAAATAATCAAAAATAAAGGTTATACAATTGATTATTGAGGCAAGAGGGCCAATAATTTTGTCCTATGTTAAATTTTTTTTTTTGTATTATTGCTTGATATTTAAATAAAAGTTTTGTTGTGGGCATCACGTGCAAATCAAGTATTTCATCATTTGTGAAAAAAATGCACATTAAGTTTCCATGAAAAATTTGAGGTATTACAGCTTTATTTGTAATTATGGAATGTGGGTGAATAATTCTATCCACGACTGCATATATATTTTTCCAAACTTACATAACTTACTAATACTATGCAAGCAATCTTAAAACTAGATCATTTATTTATACACCTATAGGATAAGAGGAAAATGTACTTGCAGGAAGTTAAAGACTAAAAAGAAATAAAGTCAACATTCAGGATTTTAAACTTACTATCAGCTGACTACAGATTTACATCCCATTAAAACAAGAAGCCCTATATCATTTAATCTAAAGTTTTTTGGGTTTTTAAATAGAAATTTAAAGATATTAGATAAACATACTGATTTGCTAATGCCTTTAAAGCATTACCTATGATGTAGAAAGGAAATTTGGCTCCTTCTAATGATCTATTCACATTTAAGTATATGAATAGCAACATTTAAAAAAAAAAAAAAAAAAAAAAGTGACAATATTTAATATGCCTGATTATTTCATTAAAAATCAGGTTAGAGAACCATGTTATGCATAGTTTTAATTATATAAAAAAAAAAATCTGAGAGAACCGAGACTAAAAGGTTTCTTTTTAACGACAAAGTATATAAGTCATAATACAGATTGCTCAGATACAACCTTCAGTATAAAACTTCTCAAAATAGTTAAGTTTAGAACTGTAAAGCAAAGAACATCAACACATAAGATACACATACAGCTTTATGTTTTTGCTTTTACTAGTTTTTACTTAAACACAAGCAACTAGTTTAATTCAGTCAAGTGTAAAACTAAAATAGAAGAGCCACATGTGAAAAATGGTATCAACTTTAATAAGGAAATTGAATCAAATTTAAAGGTTTAAAAAAAAAAAAAAATATTCACCTCTTGCCACAAAGTCAATATTTATTTTTCATCAACTTTGCCATGAATGCATTTTGTCCCCCACCCCACCATTAAAAAAAAAGTCTATAATTTTTAAATAAAAATTTTTTAAATATTCACTCAATAAAAATAATCAGGAGCCGGAATTTTTTTTGGATATGATAGGATTTAACAAAAATATAATGCAAATGCCATTTATTAATGGCAAAAGATATGAGCACCAGAATGAGTTATTTCATGTCCCAAACTGGAATTTGAGAAAAAGTACAAAGTGTGTGTGTGTGTGTGTAAGGTGGGGGATAGTCAATCTGTTGAAAATTAATAGATACCACAAAAAAAAAAAAAAAAAAAAAAAAAAAGTTAAGGAAGAAAAGGAATTTAGTTAAATATCTTAAAAAATATTAACCTTGTCAACATTAATAAGACTTAATTTACTCATTAAAGCCAAATGTGCAGTGCTGTAACCTTAAAAATTCTAATTTGCTAACCAAAATTTTTGTCACAACTTGCCCCAAAAAAGCATTAGGTGGAGCATGTAACATACTAAATCTATTCATAAATAAAGAGTAAGCAAAAAGTTCAATTCATCTTGGTTACATCCATGAGGTTTTTTAAGTTTACTTATAATGAATATATTGCTAATTAGAGCAGATTTAAACTACAAAAAGGAAACTATACATTTTACTTATCAAAGTGTTTTAAAGAACAAAAAGACATTACTATCAAGTAATTTCCTGAGGATTTATGTTGGTAGTAACTTCTTGAATTGAAAGCCAAATCAGTCATGCCTAGTTAAGTAAATAGCACATTCAGAAAATCAAACAGGCTGGAGCATTAGTAAACAGTGGAATACTTCAAAGAATAAACAGGTTCAAAGTGACAGACATGCTGTGACAACTTAAAACCTGATCTGAAGCTGACAGACAACCTTGAAAATAGAACATTAAAAACAGAAATTTTAGATTTCAACATTAATCTAATAAAGCAAAACAAAAAAATGTGTGGGGGGGAGGGGGGGTAAATTTAGAGCAAGCCACAAGAAACTTGTTTTATAGGATAATTATATCATAAGAAAGCACAGTAGATTTAAAAATCAAGATAAAATTTAAACCTCGGCTAGGCCTAATGAGCAACAAAACTGTGGGTGTGTGGGAACAACTAAAGGCAGGCAGGGAGAGAATGTCAACCAACCAGCATGAAGAAAAAGAAAAGAAAGAAAAAAAAAAGCCCTTAATTTTGATACACCCTGAGAATAATACCAAAAGATCTATAGTGAAACCTAATTTTTTTTCTTTTTACTTCCCACCATTTTTTAACCTTCAATTTTCCTGTGAAAAGAAAAAAAATAATCACTAGGAAAAAGACTAATTCAGGTTCTTTACCCGATTATTACACGTTTAATTTTTTTTTTTTTTTAAATAAAATTTTCACAGAGCAGAGCATCTGCATCAATTCAATATACATATATTTTAGGATTTACTTATTTGGAAAATATTCTTTTCTTAATACATAAACAACAGGACATAGCACTCTTGTTAAGCCAAATCCCTGGCTAATAAAGTCCTCAGTTGCCTCCCTTGCTCAGAGATGCTGCCGTCTGTCCTACAGCAGCGAGATCAGAAGGACGGAGCACACTGATGGAAGTGGTGGTAGTAGTGGTAATGGTGGTGGTGGCAGGCTGATCTTCATAAAATAAAAGAAATATGTATAAAAGAAAGAAAAAAAGAAAAATCAAGAATTTCTTATAGAGCACAAGCTGTCTGTAAATACTCTCAACTTGTCCTCTAATGAGGCAACTTGCTTCTTATGCAGCAGACGGTCAAAGTGAACAGCCATATTTGGATGTTGGAAATAAGGTTTGGCAATAGTTGTTGTTGCCATCGAGTCCAATGTGTCAGCAATAATTTGAGCAAATTGACACCTAAAAAAAAAAAAAAAAAAAAAAAAAAAAAAAAAATAAATAGATCAACGAGATTTGAAAATCATAAGTCTCCCCCCACCACCTACAAATCTATATAAATTTAAGTTTCAAAATATTTGCAATTTTTTTTTTTGGGGGAAGGGTGTGGGGGATCATATTCTTCAAAGAACTTCAAATTTGTGGGAAAATGAAGCAAAAGAGAATGAGATTGACAAAATGCTTTAGGTAACAGTTTCACTTACGACAAATTTCAATAACGAGTAAACAAACTGAATAAAATACTTTATGATTTGATTTCTTGAACAGTTATTTAAAGCCTGGCAACAAGCTATGATCATTAATAAACTAAATGAAACAGACAAGAATTTCTTTGCATATTTAAAGGATATCGACAATTCAATTGGAAATTAAATTAATTTGTCAGCTAAGTTGGAAATCTATTTAATAAGTAAAATATTCTAAATTAAATTAAAATTCTAAATTAAATAGAATAATTACCATGTACTGTGGAGCTGATTGTCCAGGTCTATGGGAAATGTCTTCTTGTAAAGAACTTCCCCTCTGTTTAAAAGGCTACTGATCACAGAACTGCCAAGCTGAAATAAAATTTAAACAATTTTTCTATTATTAATGAAAGAAACAAAAAGATTTACTGATAGAAAAGGAAAAACATTTTAGATAAAAAAAAAAAAATTACAACTAGAATTTAGTTTCCCCAGAACATTTGAATTTATTTGCTAACTAGTCTTAAACTAGCAATCACTTCTATTGATTACATATTTTAAAAATTATGTAACTTTCAATAGTGTGAGGCAAACAAATTATATCTCATTTGGTAGCAAGACATGATTAAAAGAATCGTTTTTTCCGAGTTATTTAAAATCAAAACATTTTGAATATATATATATATATATATATATAATTTTAAGCATTTCACCCCAAGCAAAGCGGGAAGCCACTAGGACGCAAGGGATTACAGAAAATTTGGAGCAAGATCAGATAGGAGTGATAGAAGAAAGGATGAGGAGGAGGGTAGTGGATAGATCAAGACAACTGGAGATGTCGATTACATTTGAATAGCTGGAGATTATAGCTCTCAGGGAAACTGGAATAGGGAAGAGAGTTCCACAGGCGAGAGGTGCGAGACATGAAGCTATTGGAGTAGAAGAGACGGCTACATTTAGGAGTTTCGACAGTGAAGGGGTGAGAGCAGGATGCCAGCCTCGTAGGGCGCTTGAACTCATGAAGTCTGGGAACCAGTGAATGCAGCTCTTCAGAGCAATTGCCATGAAAGTATTTGTAAAACAGACAGAGGCAACGGCGCATCTGTGAGAAAGTGACTGTAGACAAGATGCCAGATCAGGGCCAATTATATTGCATATCCACCTCTGGAGCCTATCAAGAACCCTGAGGCAAACAGAAGGGGCTCCAGACCATATATGGCAGCAATACTCCATGCAAGGGCGAATTGTTGATTTGTAGATCTGGAGGATTGATTCCGGAGAGAAAAATTTCCTGGCGCGGCACAGGAAGCCAACTTTCCTTGCGGTGGACAAAGCAATTGACTCAATGTATTTGTTCCATCTCAGGTCAGCAGTCAATGTGAGACTGAGCAGCCACAGAGAGGTGCTACTCGAGAAGTTGAGCATCAGACATTCTAATGGAGGGCAGGGAAGGATCTCTGTGGTGATTAATAGAGAGCAGTTTTGTTTTTGAAGCATTAAAGTTGACCAGCCAATTCCTGCCCCAGTTCACAACCGATTGGAGGTCCTTTTCGAGACGCATGGCCAAGTTATTTTTGAGGCAGGAATAAATTGGGGTGTCATCCGCGTAGATGCCAACTTGGGAATTTATGGCGTCAGGAAGGTCATTTATGTAGATAAGGAATAGAGTGGGGCCTAGGATGGAGCCTTGAGGAACACCTGCATTCGTGGGGTAGGAACTGGAGGAGAATCCGTTGAGAATGACCTTCAATTCACAGTTTGACAGGAATGATTATATTAGGTCAAATGATCGACCCGTAATGCCAAACCCTATCAAATGCTTTGGAGATGTCTAGGGACACAGCACGAGCTTCCCCGTTATTTTGAAGAGCTCGATAGACAGTTTCAGTGATGGCCATAAGCACATCAGCTGTAGATCGGGTAAAGCGGAAGCCATATTGCTTGTCTGAGAGCAGATCATGGGATTAGGGCTTCGAAGACTTTGCCGAAGAGGGGTAGGAGACTGATAGGACGGTAGTTAGAAGTGTCCGGGTAGGGGGGGGGGTCGCCAGAGTTCTTGAAGACAGGTACAACCGAAGAGGACTTCCAGCAGTCAGGAAAACAAGATTCCTTGAGGTAGTAGTTGTATAGTTTAGAAAGGGCAGGCGCTAGTTCAGGCGCGCATTTCTTCAAGACAATGGCTGGTATCCCATCTCCACCACTGTGTAACCCACTCAATAGGGCGTCAGTTCTAAGAGGGAAGTTGGGTACGAGTACACCGGAAGAGTCGAGCGTCGAGTTGAATGAAAATTTCCGAGCAAAGCATTCAGCCTTGACGGCAGAGGAGGTCAGGACTTTGAACTGGTTGAATAATGGAGGTATAGAGGGTTTGCAAATGTTCAATACGCTATTGCAGAGACGCCAATAATCTTTGGAGCCAAATTTGCAAGATGCAATACACTCCATCCGAGCAGCAAATAGTGACTTAGCATCGTTGAGGATACGTTTACACTGATTAGGGGCGGAGGCAAAGAGACGTCTATTGCAGTCAGACATGTCGCTACGGAATAGGTGAAAGAAGTGGTTCCTATAGGCGATGATGGCTGAGCAAGCAGCGGAGAACCAGGGGGAGGAGTGCAACTTGAGCCTATATTTTCTTGGGAGGATGAAAGCATCAATTCCAACTTTAACCCAGGATGAGACCGCAGAAGCACATTCTTGAACGGGGAGTGTAAAGACACGATCCCAGGGGACATAGCGGAGGAAATCACATAACGCGTCTCAGTCAGCTCATTGATAGTAGAACCAAGTTCTAGTGGTAGGAGGTTCTTTGCAGGGGGTGGAGTTGAAGGAGATGTTAACAGATACTACCACATGATCAGTTACCAAGTGGGCAGAGTTGTGTGGCACTACAAGACTCGGGGATGGAGGTAAAACACAGATCGAGAAGAGAGGCTTTACCTTCCTGGTTGAAGGCTATATATATATATATATATATATATATAAAAAACAATTTTTTTTTTTTTTTTTTTTATACATCCAATTTAACCTATAGCTGGGAGTGGAGGGATAATTTATGCATTTTCCCCAATTTGCATCTATGTGAGGTGCCATGAACCTGACTGATATTCAAAGTGTTCTGATTTCTTATTCAGAGCTGCTATCCATTACATCAGCTGCACATCATGATTACAGTCAGTCATGACATGTAACAATCACATATCCAAAGACATAGCTAGATGCCAATGCAAATTTGATCAAAGTGGCCATTAAGAATTTGCTCCAGATTCTTCCATATTTTTGACTTTGGGGGGGAAGGGACCAGCAGCAGCATTTTGTCCATTTGAATAAAACAAGCACTGTCAACCAGACCGAAGTTATATTGCAGCTTCCTACTAATAACCAAAACACTAATCAAAAGCTATTTATGATAATTATGATCAGATTCTTGTAAATTTACTGGCATTATTATGGAAACATTTGTTAAAAATGGTAATATCCTCTGCACTTCAATTTCTAACACTATTACAATTGTGAACATTTAATGATTAAAATGCAACTGATATTCTGGATGGTTACAGCACTCGCCAAGATCCTTATGAACCAGAACTTTGCTAAATATCAGAAATAGAACAAAACTGTAGGGGAGAGAAAAAGAAAAAAAAAAAAAGTCACCTTTATTAATTGTACATAAATGTGTTGATTTGGAAAGAAGAAAAAAAAAAAAAAAAAAAAAAAAAAAAAAAAAAAGGGAAGAAGAAGAATAGGCACATTTTTTTAAAATTTTTTTTTATTTAAATTGAAATTGCTGACTTTGGAAACTGTCCTCCTCAAACTAGCTGCTATCCAAAGAACAAACATTAATACACGGCTGTTGCAATAGATTCATGCCTTTCCCAAGGGCAATAGGCTGGAAGTGATCGTAACAGACTCTGCAAAAACCTGAACTTATCTTGCCAACTCCCCTTGCAACATATCCATTCTAAGTTATTAAAACACTTTTTTTTTTCTTTTCACAATGTATTTGATCAAAACCAATCCAATTTTAAAGGCTCCAAAAAGAACTGTTTGCTAATTGCAAGAAATCAAATTTAGAATAGACAAGAGAGACAGCAGCTGCTCAAGGTGGTTTCAAAGTTGTTTAAACATTTAAATTTAAATTGCAGCAATTCTAAACAGACATGGACAGTGACAAGAAAATGAAAATTACTTGCTAATGAACCCAAAATTATTTTTGTGTGAGGTTATAAAATTTCTATTATTTTAATGAAATTTAGATGGGGTCTTAACATCCAAAAATTACAGTAACTAAAAATGATCAAAGTCTGCAAAACTTGCTATGCAAAAGTTTGAAATAATATGTAGCTTTATTTTGGATTAGCTGATATAAGCCAGTATTTGCTTTCATTTTAGATAAGATTTTCAATCAACTAACAAAATAGTCAAAATTAATGCTTTACTTTATATTGCTGTAATATGCTGCATGGATATATTTAACTTATTTCAAAAATTTGAAGAAAGCTACTAAATGCTAATTACTTTCAACCAAAAAAGTAGTACTACCAAGTAATATACTACATCTAGCCAATCTATTATTTAATTTGGATTTCATAATATTTCTATTCAATGCTGCATTTTAATAATTTTTTTTTGGAAGTCCTTAACTCACTCAAAATCTTGAAAATCATTTGAAAATTAACTTTTTATGCCTACATAAATTCAAGTAAAAACATAAAAATAATTTTCTTAATTTTTTTTTCTCCAGTAGGTAATTTTTTTTTTTTTTTTTTTTGAAAATTTACTTATACTTAGTTAATCTAGAAAAAAAAAAAAAAAAAAAAACTTACCTTATTTTGTAGGGCAAGTACCAATGACTTTTTGGAGATATTTGGCTGAGTATCTCGTAATAAGAGTTGACTAAATTCAACCAAAGACTTGAAATCACATGTACCAATTCTTTGTGACACAGACTCACATAAAACTGTAAGACCCTGTAATTAGAAAGAGACAAAGAAAATAAATAAAAATTACATACAGAAGTATATCACTGGCAAACTAATCAACATTTTCACTGCTGGATTGTTATCACATTTTTGCCTAGCTGTGCTACTCAGTTTTGAAAGAGTTGAACATTGTTTTAACAAATGACAAAATACACTGACAATGATATGTCATTTTTGATTTGAATTGAATATTCTGCAGTACAGATTAAGCTAAATGGCATCAGAATACAATAAAAAGATTACAAAACTACTATGTTTACACCGGTTTAGAGGGGAAAAAAAAAAGCACTAAATGCTAGTTAGCTTATAACACATACTAGAGAATCATTTCTTGAAAACATTAACAATGGACAATGTTAGTCTTGTAAAGAAGTATATTCACAGCAACAGAAAGTGTTAAGTGGAATAAAAAAAACAAAGATCATGGAAAGCAAATAAGAAATTAACATTGGCCTCAAATATCAGACACTTGAAAGCTAAACAATTAAAAGTGTTGTAGCTGATCAGATAAAAGTAACAGCCTATTATTTAACATTAAGTTAAAGATTTTTCATTTTATTAGAAAAAAAAAAAAAAAAGCAACCATTTTAGATTACAATAGTTTGCCAAGGTTTCCTAAAAGAAAATATTGATATTTATAAATAGCATCTAATAACTACATAGCAATAATTTTGGATTCAGTGCCACAGGGTTATGTATGCACCAACTTGGAACAAATAGCAGCACATATCAAGTCTATCTTTACACAAACACAAAGGAAAAAAAAAAATTTAAAAAAATAACACTTGCCTCTTCCAACTGATCTCTCTTAACCAAATGTGACAAATTTTTAATAATTGTAGTCAGAACTTCTCCAGACTGATCCTGTTGAAAGTATATATGTAAAGAATTCAGTAAAGGAAGAAAAATAGAAATATCCTACTTTGGTGGATTTAAGTATTTTAAAAAACAAAAACTCAGGCTATTGTATTAATAGGTAGGCAATATTTCAATCTAATTTATATGATTAAAAGTATTCATTTGTATACAACACAGCTGTTTAAAACCCTTGTTTTTTTAATATAGGAAAATCCAACATGGCGTAAAACGAAATATCTGGCAAAAAATCTCATTCGTCACAACATTTTAAACACCTCATAGAATGTAAAAGTTCTTAAAAAAAACCTATGTCAAAGTGTTTTCCTGAATCCTTGATGACTTGGCTGTCCGAAAATGATAATATCAAGATGAAATAATGGAAACTGACCGTGAAAAATACAATTATGCAACAGGTTTTCGATCAATTAGTAAACTTCTGGACCTTTTATTATAGGATCCAGAAATTTTTTGCACATGGAATTATTCACTGGTAATTAATCTTCGATTTGGCTGTGGAAAATGTCACTCGGCGGTTAGCATTAAGAAATTATGCACAATTTTCTGAGAAAAATCCCTTTTTTTAATGAAAAAATATTCATTTTAAACTTCAAAATAACATCATTCAAAATTCATTCCTTTCTCTTTCATTTGGCATGAACATCATTGAATAAAAAAAAGGCTAAATGGACCGGCGATGGGAAATACAAAAGATATCTAAAAAAAAACAATGTTGTCTGCTAAGTGTTGTTGTCATCACCGGGTCACGGAGTGTTAAAAACAAAACAAAACTTATCAAGCCATTGTTCAAACATAGGTTATATGAAGCCCTAGTAATTGTGAACCCTTTTTATTCACCCTTTGCTTTTATCTGGGAGTGGTGGGTTTTATTACAACTTGTTCTAAGGTTTGCCGTCGTCCGTTTATTGCTAGCTGGCTTGGCTGGCTGGCTGGCTGGCCTTTGACCTACGTCAAAGTCAATTAGGGTTTATTTTCCTTATCACTATTTTTAGGAAAAAAAAAAAAACTTTTGGCTTCTGGTGGTTAGGAATTGCAGATAAATCTCTTGCCTTTTACTAAAGATTTCCGTGGCCAGGTTTCAATTTTTTAACCCTTGGCAGTCATAATTGAAAATTAACAATGGATTTTGTCGCATTTTTGAACCCCTAGGAATGTTGATTTCCTTCAAAACTCTCAATTTTATGCCTGAAATAGTTTGATTATGATCTAGGCTTTCTGATTTTCAAAAAAAAAAAAAAAATGGTTAATTTCCCATTAATGGGGGAAATATTTGTTTAGAACAAGAAAAAATGCAAAATTTTCACTATTTTTTTTTCACATTTTACCCACTGAAAAAATTTTTGAGTCATTTACACCAGCTAATTTTACTTTTAAATGAAAGAATATATCTTTTGCTTTCAGAAAATACCTAGTTTCATGGGGTTCAGATCAAAAGTTTCCTTGATATTCGTTTAGGTGATGATAAAACAGTCATTTTTCAATATTTTACCCCTAAAATGTATGAAAACCCATATTTTGAGAGAAAATAAGCTGTGACAAAATGACTTTTGCTATTTTTGTGATGATTTTCACTTGGGAAAGAAAATTTTTACCATAGGAAACCTGAATTGACTTTATTTAAGTTCAGTGGGTCTGTAGGAAACCTCAAACAGCTGTGACAATCAAATACAGATATTAAAAAAAAAAAAAAAAAAAAAAAAAAAACTATACTGATGTCAACTGAAAGGGAAAAATGCTTACCATATTGAAAATAGGAAGACATCTTGCAACTAATTTCCTCCCTTTCCTGATAGACATCAAATAGAGGAATGAATCTGCACGATTGTCCTGAGTACCTAAGCTCTGAAAGAGGAAGTTTAACTTCTCATTTTGTTCTTCATAGAGCCTTTTCCTGTGAACAAACAATAAGAACTTATTAATAAAGTAATAGATTAATAATAAAAATACGTTTGTTTTAAAAAACACTGATTATACAACAGAAGGCTTATATAAAGCATTACACAATGAAATAAATTCTAGGCATTCTTAACAGATTAAATTTAAGTATTAATACCCAATGTTCAAAAACATGTTCTTAAGTAAATATTTTGGATGCAAATAATGTCTCCTATACACACACACATACCTGGATTCGTCTGGTAATGCCAACACCCGTTTTTCTATATCATCAATATCTAGTAGTAGAACATATGCCTAAAAAGAAAAATATTTAAATTCTAGAATTATATATATATATATATATATATATATATATATAAAAAAAAAAAAAAAAAAAAGGAAGACAAAACAACAAATAAAAAAAATCTAATAAAAAATTAAATGCAATCGGGATTATAGCTTACCTTTTCAATTTCCATTAACATTTGTCGATACCTGTACACATCACGACCTGAAGATTTGCCAACCTGGTCATCACTATGTGCCATAGAAACTAGATCTATTACCTGTCGAGGATTGTGTACACTGGATGTCGACACACGACCAAGTGAGCCTTCAAAATGAGCTAAATAAAAATATACCAATGTTATAAAAGGCAAGAGAGAGAGAGAGAGAGAGAGAAAAAAAAGAAAAAAGAACAACAATTTAGAATGGGTACTTATACCATGTGGATTTTATAAGTTTTCAGATGTGTATAAAATTGACTATCCTTCTCTCGGAGGTTGTTGGAGGGGAGGAGGTCAAGACAAATTAAAGGGGAATAAAATCTGGAAGAGATGAAGGACAGAAGAGAGGAGAGGCAGAAAAAGACTATAGTAGTAGGTATCAGAAACTGGCTTAGTTTACGGTGCAAAAATGAGTCAAAAGAGTGAAATTTCCTTCAAGTTCAAATGGCAATAGCTCAATTATTTTTAAAGTTATTTTGATAAAATTAGTATATAAAAAAATTTTGTTTTCTCTTTATAAAGATACAATTCTTTCTGTTGTGCAATAATTAGTTTTTATTCCACGTTTCTTTAAATGAAGTTACATTTCAGTGATAGGCACTTTTTCACATTTTAAAATCAGAGAATTTTGTTTATGTTGTTTTGTGTCCCTATACAAATCAAAATAAATCTCATCTCAAAGAGGACACTCATCAATTTGGTGGGATTAACATAAATTTTGAGGTTACTTTTGAACATTCCAGGGATGAAATACCAGAGAAATTAAAAAAAAAAAAAAAAAAAAAAAAAAAAAAAAAACCTTATAGAGCAATGTTTCATTTTGAATCAGTTGGTTTCAGATCACTACGTCCAACCAACTCTAAGACCATGCAAGCATAAAAGTAGGTGTTTAAGAAGTTCTAACTCACTGTCCACTGACCAACATGTTTCATTGATGGACATTTCATGTTTTCTAGGTGAGTTTAAATCCTTTCCTTATATTTATTCTAAAAGTTGTAGAAAGTAAATTACTGTGTAAATAAATAGGCATAAAAAATAAACCAGAAATACATATTTTAATTAAATTTTACTCTTGTATTTGTCTGTTTAGAAAAACTATGTGCATATAAAATAATGTGGTGGTGGGGGGGAATAAAGGAACATTTGTGTACTTAAAAAGCAAAACAAAGTATTGTAATTTTAAAACGTGTATATTTATAATTTATTTTCATAAACCTCGCATTTGTGTATGTAAAATATTGTAATTTAAAAAATGTCTATTAAAATTTTTTTATTTACTAATTTGCTAATTTTTGGAATTAGCTCCTAATTTCATGAATTAAACTGAACATTTAAGTTGTTTTTAATTAGGATCAATAAATTTTATGAAAAAAATAAAATAAAATGATATTTTTCAGTTGAACTATTGTGGGCATGTAAAATATACATATATAATTTCTAAACTTTTATTTTAAAAAATGTATATTTCTTAGATATTTTTTACTTTTAGCATAAGAAAAATATTTTTTTACTTTTCTATCACATTTACTTCAAATAATTAATTTTTGGTAATTAGTAAATATTGCTTTAACTTTTATTTTATTTATTTTTTTTTTTTTACTTTTAAGCATAATTTTTAAATTTTAATTAACAGTACAAACACCTAATTCAACAATAACAATTCAAGGGCAAACATTCGAAAAAAAAAAAAAAAAAAAAAACTATTTCCATGCCTGGGGATTACTTTAGATTTTTAAATTTACAAATGATGAATATTTAAAATCTGTTCAGTAGATGATCAACTAAACATTATGAGAAATTGTCTTTCTTATAAGTAAAAAAGGCAGGCCAATATACAAAAAGGTTGGTTGGTGATGCAATTAAAAAAAAAAAAAAAAAAAAAAAAACACAGAAGAAAAAAAATATGGAAATCAGTGTTGGATAGTGGGGGAGGATTAATGGCATAGCAGTAACACCCAATAATCTGAGTGCAGTTCTGGTGAGGTCTCATTTTTATAACCCAACTTCTGTAACTTTTATGGTTTTAAGGACCATGAAAGAAGCACTTAAATAGGTGAAGAATTCAGATGACAAAAAAAAAAAAAAAAAAAAATTTTTTTTCACAAAATCTTTAAGGAACATCCCTCCATTTCCTTTGTGATACAAGAATTGTATGTTTTTACTGGTAGGATTTTGCATGGTTCTGCAAATTGTCCTAATACAAGGATGGAACAGTAAAGACTGATTAAGCAAGTTCAACAAACCCAAGAAAATTTTAGCCACTAAAGATAACTTATGAGCCTTTTTAGATTTTTTTGAAATTACATCACAGGAACTTGAAGACCCAGTGATTGGTAGCTGTGATAAAGAAACATATCGATTGATTTTCAGATATGAGACAAGGCCAATGGGCTTCCAGAACATTGATTCTAGTTTCTACATTGTCCAAGTAATTGACATTACATCTCCAACCAATGCAATAATCAAGTTTCTAGTTCTAAGGGTAGAAACAATTATTTCCGATGGCCTTTGGTGGGGGACATTGCACAGGTCAAGTCAACGTTTGTCTTAAGATGGGACTTAGATGTAATGCCAATTTCAAGTAATAGTAAAATCTGGAATGTTCCATAAATACCGGATACAGAAGCCTATAGAAGAAATTTAGGCTGCAATCACCATTAGGAGAGGAAGTGCAGTAGGGACGTTTAAACAGCCCAGAATGTCTTTCATCAGTTCCAATAAATATAATTTTACTCATTTCAATTGTTTTTTCTTAAATTTAAAAATTGACTTTAAGGCTTTACAATAAGCATTTGTTTGAAAAACTGACCACTGATTCCTTTTGTATAACAAGTTTCAAAGTTTTGATGTTGTCAGTCTTTTTTGGATAAGTCAAAAAAAATTGTATAAATTAACGAAATTTAAAAATCAAATACATTTATGAGAAAATGTTTTATTATATATAAAATAACCATTTTGTTGAATCCCTCATCCAAAAATGAGGAAGTTTCAGGCTTGTACCTCCACCAGATTTTTTTTTTTTTTTTTTAACAGAAAGTTCAATAGACATTTTTTTTTTTTTACCCTACTATCAATTTTGCTTTCACCTATACTTACATGGTGAAATAAGAATTTTTTTTTTTTTTTTTACTGATGTAGTCCCATTAAAAAAAAAAAAAAAAAAAATTTAGCTTATCTCTAAGATACTATGAAACATGAAATGTCAATGACTTAACTGTAAAATTGAAATTTATATGAATGGTCAAAGTTGTTTTCCTGTTATTTTTGTACCATTTTTAGCACAATGTCTCCACGCCCTGTTTAGGCTGGTCTTATCTAATAATTATTAATTACATTTTTTACTTGTTTGAAGCCTGCATCTTTAAATATACACTGTTAAAGATACACTTTTGGCCCAATTGCACTCAAGACAGAAAATCTGAAGGACTTTGAATGGTCATAACTGTTTCTAATTGAGCTAGCAATATAAATTTGGTACCATTTTGTATGTTTTGTCATATTCTATATGTCCTCATGAAAAGGTTTAGATATATTGAAAATAAAAACAGTTTGGGATATCTAATAGTAGGTTTAATATAAAGTAGGCTAATGTAAGGATATAGTTTGACAAGATATTGATTGGTAAATAAACTGTTCTACTTGCATTTCAAAGGGGGGTGTAAGAGTGAATCCTGAAGTATAAATTAGCAATTATTACAGTATCAGAAGATTAAAACCCTTATGATGCCAAATGTATATTTCAAAAGTTTGTGGGGATAGGGAGGAAATAGGGCAAGAAAAGAAAAAAAATGGGGGGTGGGGGCAATGGTTATTTATATTCATCACTGCAAGTTTTAATCACTATAGGCAGGAACTTTTGTTCAGATTTAAAATAACTTATTAACTGAAGCTGTGATAAACTGTGAAACAAGAAATTAAACCACAAAGCAATTAACTAAATGAACAAAACCAAGGTACATTTAACATTCAAGTTACAGTGAACACAAAAAAAAAAAAAAAAAAAAAATCAGTTTAGAAAACTTGTATAGTTTGTTTAAACAAACAATAGAACCATAGGAACAGGTGAATGAAAGAATTTTAGCCTTTACTAATATTTTGCTTAATGGAGCTTCTCTAAAAATAGTTAATGACTAAAATCATTACAACAAATTAGAAATGTATTCACTAAATAAAGAGCTTGATAAAGTTTGGTATCTATAAGACTATCAAAGTAAATATACTTGGAAGGTAAATTTTCAATGGGTGGATAGACATTGAATACCTTATAAAGGTGTAGAAGAATAACTGCCAACCGTTTTATTTGAATGTAAATTTATGCTTTAGAGTCAAAAATCATTAAATTTGACCTAATTTTCTGAGAAGACTTAAAAAAAAAGAAAAAAAAGAAGTCACCCTTCTAGCTTGGATCCAAAGATTGCAGCATTTTTCGGTAAGTGGCATTTGAACACATGATTTCAGTTCACACGTGACCGATATCTATGATATTCTGAAAGGCAACATTTCAACATGCCTATTTGATTTGTATGTGGAAAGATTTGTTAAAAGCATGGAATCAAGGAGATGCTCTTATTTCTGGAAAAGATGCTTTAAAAACATCAAAAAATGTGTTTGAGAGATGGTGGAAGTGCATTGTATTACAAATGAATCAACTGCAAAATCAGATGTTGAATTAAATTCTTGCACCTTCAGATTACTGCTTATTTCAGTCCCTACAAAATCATCTTAACAAAAAGAACTTCAATTCTCTGAAAACCTGTAAAAACCCACTTACAATTTCATTATGCAGAATGATACAAACTTCTGGGGCAATGCAATCATGAAACTGACTTCAAGATGGGAAAAAAAAAAAAAAAAAAAAAGCAGTGAAATAAAATAGCATATACATAGTTGAATAACCATCTAAATATAGTCTTTGATAATTAACTGAAAAAAAAAAAAAAAAAAAAAAAAGGAAAAGAAAAATTTTGCTCTGATCCAATATTTACTAAAAACAAAATTACAAGAGATATTTTCAATATTAGTAGGCTGATCAAAATACTACCAAATATTTCTTTGGGGAAACTTACCTCATCTTAGATGATCATCTACATACTTGGTATAAGTAATCAAGCTCTAATTCTAACACTGAAGTTCCACTTAACTAAATTTATCAACTTTATAAGACATGTCCACTCACATTAATAGTCTTAAAAATAAGATAATTTATGCAATATTTGTCTTTAGAATTTAAAATCCCTTCATACATTTAACATTTTCACCATTCTCCAGAAGTTTAAAATTGTAAGCAAAGATTTAGCATTGAAATTCCTGTCAGGCACAATTATAAGAAATATCTTACCTGGTGTGTAAGCTTTGGTCTCAATCTTGGCTAAAGCAGGAATAATTAGTTTAGGTTCATCTTTATCATTCTCTTTATTTTTCTTCCTTTCCTCAGTTGTTTTCTTTAAAGTATATCGCTGTGAGAGGAAAAAACAAAATGTTATAAAGGTTTCTTATAACCTTAAAATACAATGGTACTTAAGAATCTTTTTGTGTGTGTGTAGCCATCTTGTTTTCTGCTATTTAATGCACCAAATAAATCAATATTATTGTTGCTTGACCAGTGTGTGTGTGTGTGTGTTTTAGAAGAGGAATAAAAATAAATACCCCCATGTATCACGCATGCCACGTAACTGACTGAGTTTTACTATAACAAAACAATTAAGATTGTATTAAGCTTATTACATTTATCAAATTATTACTAAAACTTCCTAAGACTCCTCTTTACAAAGGACACTAAATTCTTTTCTGATAATTGTTTTTCACAACTGCATAAATCCCTTTTATAAATTCTATTCAATCTTTTTTGTAAACAATATTTTCATTTGAAACAAATTTTAGATTTTCTATAAACGATCTAAAATTTACAAATTAAAATTACAAATTGAATAAAAATCAGAAGTATTAAAAATTCTTAAAAAAAAAAAAAAAAAAAAAAAAAAATTCTGCCCAGATAAGTCCATTGCTTTAAGAAAATTAAAATTTTCCTTTTCATCCTCTCACAAGTGTTTCAAGATATGCTCTAAGCAAAATCTTCAGTGTATTTTGTATACTTGAAAACATTTGGATTAACTAAATTATTAGAAAAACTAAATTTACTCCTTTAGTCTAATTTATAATATATGCATAGAAAAGAAAAGTGAAAATTTTCTAAATGTGCACACACACATTTTGTTGTTGAAATTGTATATCACATTTCAGTTGAGCATTGAGGAAACATTGGTTAAAAAAGTTAGAACTTGAACTATAAAGAAATAGATTCTTACCACATAATAATAATCATCTACATAAGGATTATCTGTGTGTAGCTGTAACAGTTGGATCTTTATAACCCAGTCTTTCTCTTTCTGCGTCATGATGCCAGCATATTCATCAATAGGTTGTGTTTTTTCTGGCCTATCACGATTATAGTCTCTACCACGTTGATGGAAATGGTTTCTATTTTGGCTGGAAAAGAACATTGAATAAATCAAGTATATGTAAATTGCTGTTAGGAGCTCAAGGCGAAGACAACTAATTTCAACAATATTTTTGAATATATATATATATATATATATATATATATATATATAAAATAAAAAAAGGAAATATTTTATTAATTAACTAGCCCCAAAACATTTTTTTTTTTTTTTTACCTTTATTCTAAAGCAACTGGTACTCCCACAACCAAGTGGACTTATACTGGAGTGGTAAAATAGGGCTATCAGAAAAGTAAAAGTGACACCAAAATTTTGTAACTAACCTGAATAAAATTAAGTTAAGATTACAAGGAATGTGTGCAAAGGAAAATTTTAAGTACTTTCATTATTAATCAAATTATTTCAGCACAAAAAAAAAAAAAAAAAAAAAAAAAAAGTTTCTCCAACATTGGTGTTTAAACTGCTCATCAGACCATTACAAAACAGGTTAGATTTTTTTTTCTCCCACATTCACGACAAGTTACTTTGAATGAAGAAAACCAAATTATAGTATACATATAACTTTATTAAAAAAAAAAAAAAGTATTAAAAAACCCTTTAGGTCCACATCACTCACCCAGCATTTACAAAAGTACTAGTTTTAATAAAAATTGTATTTTAGATAATCATGCAAAGAAAATTATGCCTAGAACATCCAATTTATTTGCCAGAGAAATCAAATTTTGATGAACTTACTTGTTAAACTGTCTCACTGAATGTGGGGGAGCTCTGTGGAACCTAACATTTTCTCCTGGATGTGGAATCCTGAAAATAAATTTTAAAATGAGAGAGGAAAAAAAAAAAGTCATCTCTAAGAAAAAATCTTGCTTAAAAAACAAATCTCAACTGAAAATGTATTAGGATCAACCAGAAGTATAATAAAAAAAAAAAAACGAAAACAAACACTGATCACACCCCCTATGGAAATGAACCTGAGTGTTAGGAGAGGAGTTAAAATTAGTCTTTATAAAAAAAATACTGATTGTATTAAAATTGTTCAGATAAATATATTATTCCAATGTACCATACAATATATAGCTTTATTCGCAATACAGTCCCCTGATAAGTGTATATTTTGATAAATTTATATAGCCTAAATGTTTTTTCTACATTTGCTGAAAGAATATTAAAAAGAAACTAAGATTATACAGAATTGAAACTGAAGGCTTTACATTGGCCACAAATCCAGAAGTGCTGATCATTGCAAACCCCACCAAATGAATTCCACTGACAATTTTAAAGCAATATTTTGCAATTACTTTCCTATTATCAATCTGGTGCAATTAAAGCTTCCGATTATGCAAACCAGAAATGGAAAATGAAATAGAAAAAAATATTTAAGTTTTGCATAGATCCAAACCCACTGTCAATATCCCCATCCAGGATTCAGCAACATTTGGAATAAATACTGATACAAATAATGTCCTCTGCTGTGCAAAGAGGAAGGCAAGCCCAGAGTGAAGTATCAGTTATCTACAAAGTCCAGATTTTAGCAATATTTACTTAGGTTCTTACTTATAGAATTTGTATACATTTTCTCAAATTCATATAATCATGTCAAGCGTAATAGGATATTTTTACTAGTCACAATGGCTAGTTTGAAAGATGAGGTTTATAAAAAATTTAATGTAAAAAGCTACTCACCTTTGTCCATTTATATTGTGGGTATTTGGAGGTCCTACTAGTCTCAATGAATTAGGCGGACACTGTAAATTGGCAGGAAATCGGGGCACGGGACGCTGTAACATTGGATTAGATGCCAGATTCCCTGTAACAAAGAAATACGCCATAAAATTCAACATTATATAAATAAAGCACATGTACAAGCAACCAGTCATTCAGAAATTTATGACTTTCTGTATTATCAGTTGTGTGCAAAAGATGACGCATTAAGGAAAGAAAAAAAAATTATCGTGTATTCATTTAATTGTTAAAAGAGAATAGGAAAATGCCAAGAAAAATCCTTTCAGCTTGTTATATTAGAGAAATTAACCTTTCATATTGCCATTAGTCTTAGAATTATTATCTTATTTTATTCTAAAGCCAAAATCATATCATATACAGAAGATCTTCATTTCAAATACCAATTGCTTTCCCTGATAAAACAAATAAGTATATATTTCAATATAGTAAAAGAGAAAGAAAACCGACCCAGTATTACTGTTCTAATGACAAAGACAAATGAAATAGTTCTTTGTGCCAACTATGTAGTGTACATCGGAATCAACACTCAGTTTCACACTATGGTCAACTCAATAAAATCTGACCATGGTGTGAAACTGATAGTCACTATACAGATTCTTGTGTGTGCATTGCTTTCACTTCCTTTTCATTCAATTATTTTACACACAACAAAATCTGTTTCTATTTATCATTAACTAACTACTTGTTCCTCAATCCATTTCACCGTTCCTCGCTTACTATAGGACAGAAATAGTTCCCCTGAAAAAGCTCCCTTTATTCAAATTTATTTGTCCCCATATCTGAGCACTCGACCAGATCCAAATTTAAAGCTAGTCTATCTTCTACATACAAGAGAAGAAAGGTTGATATATCCCATAGTCAACAATTTTGCTTTCTTTAGCTTTTCCCTTGACATTATACAATTTCATATCACTAATTCTTAATGCTATCATGTTAGCACTTATAATGAAAGAGCTTGTAGTTAAATAGATTTTTTTTAAACATGTGTATATGTGAGCATATACAAGCAAAGAAAAAAAAATAGTGGCCAAGAGGAAAGGAATCAATTTCAATTTACTGACAAAACACCACCCCATAGCAGAATTTGAGAGCATGCATTCTCTTTTCTCCTACTTCCTATTCACCACTCATTTCATAGCTTCACCCTAAAAAACTGTCTCAGTGGCTTATAATTCCTATAAATTAATAATATCTGTAGTCATCCAAAACATCAGTTTCAATACCATATGTTTAGTTGGTTGGTTGGTTATTTTGTTTTATAGCATGTCAACCTCAGTGGGTCATTTAATGCTGACAGTTTTGGAATGGATTTTAGCATAGTTCAGTAGAATATGTGCGTGTGTGTGTGCAGTAGTATTTGGCCACTCATATTTTTGAGTACATTCCAATTGCTTTTATAAAATCTAGTATCCCACATGATGTTATTGCCATACAGAGTTTCTTCAAATTACTTGTTTAGTAATATTGTTTCCACACTCAGGCAGTATATGTTTAACTGTGAATCTTTTTTGGCATGTAGTACATATTGGGGGATTCTGAGCTCTCCAGTAAATGATGAGTGATGTAGGTGTGGCATATGGGAAGACAGGTCAACACAGCTTGTTCTTTTCTATTCTTGTATTTTGTGTTCCATTCTCCAACGGTAGGTTTTGTTTTGTAGTGTATTTATCCCAATGATTTTGCCACTTCTCAAAGGTAATTCTAGTCACTACTTTATAATCGGTATACAGTATTTTTGTTTCACCTATTGTATCTTTCATAGCTTTCTTTGCTTCCGAGTCTGCCCAGTCATTTCCCGGTATATCAAGGTGGCTTGGGATCCAACAAAAGACTCCTTTATTTTTTGATAAATGATATAGTGTTACGTACTTGTGTGCTTAAAGGATCAGTAAGGTTTTTATTTTTTAAGGCAGTAAGTGCAGACAAAGAGTGTGAAAATAATGAATTTTTTGTGGTGGTTTGTAGTTATGTCAAGTGCCAAATTAACAACCATATGTTTAACTGAAAGTCATTTGTCAGATTAAACAAAGAAAACTCCTATCCAAATAGGAGAAAGTATTTCAAAAACTAGTGAAGCATACTTCATAAAATTTTATTCTAATAAATAAAAATAAAAAAAAAAATCTTTAGATGAGCTTACCAACAATGGAACTTCGAGGATAGGGAGAAGACAACCTGGCTTTATTTATAGCATCAATAGTAGCTTGGGTTGCAGCAGAATGTCCTGTAGGGGTAGGGTTCCGGCTCAAGCCAAGACGGATACCTGCTGTTAAAGAGAAGAGGCGAAAAATTTTTTTTAAAAAAATACTCATAAGCTTTGCAATATTAAGAGTCAAATCAAATGACAACAATCTTTGACATTAAAAAATTAGAAAATAGCCTCGAAATTTTTATTCAAATAAAAATTTGTAATTAGGTTTACTCTTCAAAAAATGTAAGGTTTATATGTTGAGAAAGAAATATACTTCAAAAGCTGTTCCTAAATTCTTTCTTTCATTATTAATCAACACTTAAAAAAAAAAAAAAAAAAAAAAAGTGTTTACATGCCAGGTATTTAACAATTTCAGAACGCAATAGTTAGAGTGATCAGCATATTACTTTAGAGAAAATAAATAAACCAATTTTTTCGGTTGAAATATAGTCACCTGGTATTGGTGATGGTCCATGCCCATTTGTAAGACGGCCTTGCATTCCTTGGAGAAGTTGAGCTGGGGGTCCACCATTTTGTAGTAAGTGTTGTGATGAAATAAGTCCTGGTGGCAGACTTGGAGAAGCTCTACCATTTATAGAGCCAATATTTTGCAAAGATTTAAGACTGCTAGAAATTTTCTGTTGTGGCTATCAGAAAAAAAAAAAAAAAAAAAAAAAAAAAAAAAAAAAAAAAAAAAAAGAAAGTGAAGTGAAAAAAATCTCAAAGAAAACGTAACTGAAAGAAAAAGTTTTTAATGCCATCAATTTATAAAGTTACACTACTACTATATATTTTGACAAATAAGTCAACCAAATGTTGGCTGCTCTTGTATTACAACAGCTTGTCATCTGTCAAAATTTAGTATAAGACTTGATACAATGAAAGCATACATTATACACACACACACAAAACTTTATAAAAATTAAATTGTACAGATCAAGACAAATTCTTTAGAGGCTTAAAATAACAAGTGCCAACATTTTTCTTTATCAGAAAATGACTTTCACTACAGACAAATTGCTGCTGTAATCAAATACTTTCCTAACAATCCCAACGCTACTGCAAATTTAAGTTAAGGTAATAAATGAGAATTTTGTAAAAAAAAAAAAAAAAAAAAGTTAAATTAGGTACTAGTCTATAATTATGACAATAGTTGTCTCCCTTGAAAAATCGTTTCGTTAACAATCCAGTATGAACAGAGACGCCACCATAACATTCAGTTACAAATCAATTTTTAATTTTGTTTTTTTCTTTTTGCGCATTTAAGTTAGCACATTTTAGAGGAATCCAATACTTGTGGCCTCAATGCACGGTTCAGGTTACATAATTTTAAAATCAAAACAAAAATAGTCATGTTTTTTATATTTCATAAAATTAAAATTAATACAAAGCAAAAGAATTTAAACACAAAATTTCCCTTATCAATATTTAAAAACTGAAAAATTTGAAAATGTTTTTTTTTTCAAACACAGAATCAATGAATCTTGATACTCACTTCCTGTGGTTTATTGAACCCCTGTGAGGGAAGGGAGGCAGGTGCTGATCCAACTGGTGGAATAGGAGCCGATATAGAAAATGGAGAAACATGTGCCAGAACCTGACTGCCTGATAAGGAGGTATCACCTCTCATGTGACGCTCTAACTCCTCAGCAGTCAGCACACTCGAAAACAGTTTCTTCTCAACTTCAGCAAGAGTGTGAGGCCGTGAGATGCTACGAGAAGACTCCAACACCTTCTTAGGGGCTTGCTGTTTCAAAAAAAAAAAAAAAAAAAAAATAAAAATGTAGAGATAGGTTTATGTACATATGCAAATCTCAGATAAGCCATGAAAACAGGCAACATAATAAAAAGATAACAGTTAAAGCTGAAGCAAAAGATCTCACTTGTAAACTTGTTTGCCCAGTGCATTTGGCCATATTAAATAAAGATTGCAAGTTATCTGGTGGATTAGGCTGGTTGGGCTTAGGTGCAATATTGCGAGTCGGCAAAATTTCCATGGGTGGAGACCTCCAGATGCTGCGACTAGTCGGTGATACCTAAAAAAAATAAATAGATGCTCTTCTCTATAATCACTTAAAAACATGACTCTCCAACATTGTCCTACAAATGACTATTCATCCAGCATCCAATAAAGTAGTTCAGTAGAGGCTATTAGCCTAATGTCCATAATTTTCAGTTTCCCTTAATAAACATCTCACAGTAAAAATAAACTTCATAATAAAGCTACACATCTTATAAAAGACAAAAAAAAAAAATTCTTTGATAATGGGTTTTGTCCTCAGAAAGACTATCAAAGCAAATGTAGGATTTATTTTGTTGCACATGTTTATATACAAGAGTACGAATGTCATTGGTTTATCAAGGCTTTTAAATTTGAGAATGTTCATGAATATTCATCAGGTGGTTGAAAGGTCAGCCAAAACATATAGAGGACACAAAGTGGCACAATTCAAAGTCTGGTAAGACAAAAGTAAGCAAGTAAATAATATTATATATATATATATATATATATATATATATATATATATATAATAAATGAATATTGTTTTCCTCTTGTTTTATTTATTTTTTTCATTTTGTTCCTTTACATATACACTATCTTAAAATTATATATATATAAGCCAATAATAAAACAATTTGCCATATGAATTTTAAATCCTTGTACATTTTCTAGATATTCAATACATTCCCTAACCATTCTGGCTGGTAATAAAACAATTTTAAAATTCAGTAGTTAAAATAACATTTCAAAATTATTTACAAGAAAGGTGTTCATACGATATAAATCACATTAAACAATTAAAAAAAAAACATGTGTTGGCAAGTATAATTGCCTTTTTAAATTTTATTTTATTTATCCATAAGCAGCTCAAAACCAACAAGAATGCAATAAATGCTATAAAAATTACCAAGTGCTCAGTCTCCAAGAGACCAGGTGGAGAAGATGGACCAAATAATTCATTGAGGTTAACAGGTTTCTGTAAATAAAATACAAGTTTGTTTTTAGATTTCCACACACTACAAATGTTTAGTCTTATTTTCATATAGAGATAGTAATGAACTAATTAAAAAAATAAATATAAAAAAAAGATACTTAATTGAAAATAATGTATATGATTACCTTTGGTACATCTTTTGCATGGCTAGAAGTATGGGAAACAGAAACCCCATGAAGCCTTCTATCAGCGATATCAAGGTCATCATCATCATCAACATCATAGTCATCATCATCTACTACAAGGTTATAGATACTTTCCTCCAGATATTCCTGTAATGGTTTTTATCACAAAGATATGTTAAGTAGGGTAATGCCATTATGTACATAGAGGTTTGCATATATAAAAAGATACATGTACACAAAAAGAGTGAAAGTTTGGTAGACATACAGCAAGAAGTTGTGATTTCCCCTAAAGAGAAAAATTTCAGCTATTACATTTTTAGTGTCAAGATTGTGTCTGGGACAAAAGACAATATTTAAAAAGTTACCCAATCAAGAATTCACAAACTTAGATGATGCTTTGTGGTTCAATAGTGCTGTCAAGCTGGTTTTATAAATTTATACAAAAGTAAATTTTTTTAAAGCATTAAAAGAAACTACATTTATACCTTTAATTTTTAAGTCCTCACTCACAAATTGGTTTAAAATGTTAAAGTCAAACAGATTTATAATTTTCTAACTTTAAACCTCTAGTCATATCAGGTACAGTTAAAGTCTAAAATCAAATTAGAGTGGTTACAAAATTTGCAGGAGATATACAAGTTTAAATTAGAGAAACTTGTACAGTTTTCAAGAAACTTTACAATATACAAAAGATTAAAAACATTCAACAGTGTAAAATTCAGTAAAAGACTAAAGGAAGTTCTAAACTGCCAACAAGAAATCAGTAAATTTTATACTATCATAATGTTAACTCAATCTTTTATTTAACAAAATAGAATTTAGGAATAAAAGTAATTTTCAACAAAAAGTGTATAATACACAAATTTTAGTCTTAAAAGCAGTCACACCATTTTAACACAAATGAATATAAATAAAAGAATTTACTTTCAAACAATACTAAGGATTATATCATTTTACTTTAGTGTTTCAGTGTTTTCCAAAGAAAATTTCTATCTCTGCCATATTTATGAGGAAAGGATGCTCAATAAACCAGTTCTTTCCAGCTTTGTTTAGAGCTAATGTATATATATATATATATATATATATATATATGTGTGTGTGTGTGTGTAATCCAGGAGTTATACTACATGCTTAAAGGTTGCCCAACATGTATTAGTCTTTTGTGCGTAATCTGTTTTTACTTGTTAACATGTCTTAAAATTTAAAGCTTGAATATAGATGCAGTTATACTAAGCAATTTTAGGATTAAAAAAAAAAAATGCATGATGTAAAAGACGCCAAACTTGATGTAAACAATTTTATCGTCTAAATATTTAAGAGGAAAGTATTTTAAATTTTTTTTTTAGAACATTCTAACTTTTCATTAAAAAAAAAAAAAAAAAAAAAAAAAACCCTTGTTGTTTCACTTTGTATCAGCCGAACTACTAAATGACAAAATTTTAGCATGTTTTTTGTGCAACAGCCATTATTTTGCAAAAATAAAAATAATTGTTGGATGTTAATGAAACTTTCAGAAACAATTCACAAATGATGGAAATTACAAATTTTTTTTTTTTTTTAAAGTCATGGCAAAAATATTTTTTTTATATTTATTACCGCCCCCCATTAATTTTATGAAAACTCTAGAAATTCAACCCCATTCAGTTTAGTGATTATATTAGTTAAAAGCAGAAGGCTTTGAGGAAAGCAAATCATGTATTTTGTTTTTTTTTTTTTTTTTAATTGGAGCCACCTAATAATCATCTCTGAATTGTAACATACAAAACTCAATAAAACAAAGATATTATTTAATGTCAAATGCTTTTAGTTGTTTTTATGAATATGGATGATATTGCCTGAAAGCAAAAAACTTTTTTGATGAAATTTCTTATTTTATTTTTATATTAAAGTGGTTAAATATTCTAAAATTAGTGAAAACAGCAGATTAGTCTATGATGCTATTAAATAGATCTATCTTTTAGCATTATAAGTTGTATAACTTATAACAATCAGAAGAGCCGAACAGTAAAAAAAAAAAAAAAAAAAAAAAAATTCCAAATGGCTTTTGTATCCATAAAACAGCTGTAATTCAAATGTACGGAAAACCAGCAATACAATAAAAAGTTATGTTAGCGTTGTTTGCCACAGTTAAGGCCTTTATTTTTGCAAAACATGTGAAGTTAATTTGAATTTTCAATTTCAACTGAGAAGGGTACCTACAAATATTAGTATCATCTTAATGAAATTTACATGATCTTTTTATATTATCTCAGTTACGACATTTTTCTATAAATGAAATATCAAATTTAATAAAATGAATGGAAATACAAATAACATAGTAAAATGTAATACATAAAATTATAGTATTTTATGTACACTTCTGATAAAATTTCATAAGAAAGGTACCTATAAAATTAGATACCTTATTGAATTTAATCTCACTCAGTCTTAATTTTTTATATTTCCCATAAAGTATCGAAAATGGAAAGCTAAATAAAAAAGCGCTGAAAGTTTTCCTTAAAAATAACGAGGTAAATAAGCTGGTTCACTTTAAATAATTATGGCACTTCTGCCCTTCTGTATGATAACTTTTCCTCATGCAAGCTGTCAATACATAATGAAATCATCACTCATCACCTGTCAAAGTGACACCAAATGTTATGACCTGATTTGTCTTATTTTTAAACTACATCTTTTCAGTGTAGAAACTATATAATGCTTGTTTCAAAATATTTTAAAAACATAATTTCTAATTTTCTTCAAATAAGTTTTGAGAAAATTATAATTGATTGTTAAAAGAATTTGAAACAAAAAAAATTTTGGACATGCTAGGAATGATTAAAAAATGTAAAAAAAGAAAAAAAAAATACCCCCAAAATACTTTGATCTTAATAACAGCAAACAGACGATAAAATTGTTTTTGTCAAGTTTGGCATCTTTTTCATCATGCTATGCTCATTTTTTTTTTTTAGCGATTTCATGGAAGTACCTAAGTATTCCTCTTGCATACATATTAATGCCCAAACCCATTATATTACTATGAATGGTGTCAGTATTTGACTGTTTTTAGATTATGTACCAAACAACCATCCCCAATGTGATTTGTAAAAAATTTCAAGTATGTTTCTGGACATGAATTGTAAACTAGTTCTGAATAATTCACGTATATGAATATTGGCCTTTAGGCTGCATCCCTAGCTTTTGCTTTAAATTAATAAAATCTGATATCACTATTGTACACATTTTGTGACCAAAAGGTTTATATAAACTCATGTATCATGCAACTTTTGAATAACTAATTTTAAGGGGGCTGCATCATAAACAAGATATAAAATTAGCATATTTACTGCTACCTCTGGCCACGATGTTGACCCATTACATATATATATATTAGTATAAAATTAGCTTCAAAATTAGGTTTTCAAAGGTCACATGATACATCAGCATACACAGTATATTACAAGCTTCCATGCATGCTCTTAAAAAGGTTGGTATTTAAAATTATGAGTGTTGTAAAAGAATCAACTAGATGATTGTTAAAAAAAAAAAAAAAAAAAAAAGAGTTTTAACAAGCACTTTATGCTTTTCTTGGAAGCATTTGTCTTAGCCAGTATTCAGCTAGAGATATTTTAAAAAAAAAAAAAAAAAAAATGTACTATGAAAAATAAAAATAAAAAAAAAAAAAAATACTTACACCCTGTGTCCGGAATACTTCTTCAAAATTATCATCCGAAAAGGATTTGGGACTAAGTTTTCCAGTGGATCTCTCAGAACCATGACCTGGCTTGCCACTCAGCGGAAAACCAACAATCAGAGGATTATTATCATCTTCTTCCCAATCATATCCAACTAATAAATAAAAGTTAAAAAAAAAAAAAAGTTAAGTTGCAGATTTTAACTTTGTTTTTTTTTTGTCAAGACTAAATCTAGCCAAGAAATTCACTTCAACTAGTATTTTCATTATCTGTCGATATTTCTGACATGAGGTATTGTAACTATTTAATTTGTTCAAACTGTTGCCCTCACTGTCACATCATCTCAGCCATTGTATACTCTGGCTTTCTTCATATTTGTTCAAATTTTGAACAAAACTCTTCATTTAGTTCACTAGATTGTTTTAATTCTATGTGCCATGCCTTTGGATATTATCTTGGTTGCTACATATTAATGTATCATCTATTGTATTTGAGTACATTCCAATTGCTTTTATAAAATCTAGTGTCCTAGATGGTGTTATTTCCATAAAGAGTTTCTTCAAATTACTTGTTTGGTAATATTGTTCCTGCACTCAATTCAAGTTTGTACACTCAGGCAGGTACTTCTTGTAATTGTTAACCTTATGAGAATTTCAAACAAAACCCTTTAGGCAGTCCATAGAGGTAGATTGATTACATTCCAGTGACCACATTAGAAAAGGTTGTTACAGACAACCAAGATAAGGACACTAATCCAAATACATCAGCGCACAATTATACTTTCCCATCTCAAAATTTCAGACACTTATACCAAGAAAAAAAAAAAAAAAAAAAACACACATTACAGGGTTACACAATTATGTAAAATTGTATATACATTTTTAAGAGAAAAATTAAAAAGAATTCTGCTTAGCAGCAAAATGCTGTGAGAGTAATGAAATTCAAAGAGCAAATTTTTCTTTTTACCACACAAATCCAATGCTGTTAAAGATAAGATTTGATAATTTTCTTAGGACAGGATAAATGTTAAATTTTAAAATTTTCTATTCCAGGTCAAAATGTATCAGTGTTCTAAACTGCCATATGCTACTCAATTTTAGTATGGTTTAAAATATTCTTCATAAAAAAATATTTCAAATTCACACAAGTAAATTGAGAGTAGACAGAAGACCTAAATACTCACTGAACAGAAGAAAAAAAATAACTAAACAATAAAAATTATAATTCATAAGAGTCACAATTCAATATTAGTATCTTAATAAAGTTAAATCACAACTTAAAATGGAGTTTATTGAAATATAAAAGTATATACTGCCATTTATAAAGACCTTATTTCATTAGTAAATTTTCTGTGGCTAAACTTTTAATTAAAGCTAGACAAAAAAAAAAAAAAAAAAAAAAAATGTTACTCAATGTAAAGAATTTAATCCTTTTAACAATATGATCAAAACATGCCACAAATAAAGACAGTTCCAAAATCAATAGTGTGTGTATGTGTATATTATATGGGCATGTGACCGAGTGGTCAGAACATTCACTTTCTGACCATGAGACCCGGGTTTGAATCTCACCACAGTTGATTTGCCAGGAAGTAGACTTTCTGATGTTATCAGTCTTGAGGACACAATCCCAGCATGTGACACCTTTGGAAAGTGCCTGAAAACCATACCACGAGTTAACCCAAGCCTTGTTAGTGAAATTGGATAGATGCAACCTTAGACAGCCATTGATAACTGTGCTAGCACAAAGTCACAAGTAATCATGCCCAAGGGTTTGAGTGTGCGGGCCTTGTTCAGATTGTTGATCACGCTAGATAACATGCTCTCTCAGAAACTGTAACTAAGGTCTGCTCAGCATAGCTGCAATATAAACCACAGGTTGGTTCTGTGAGTGTTGAACAAACAAATGTGCCTGAGCAAGCATCTGCAATAGGGCTAGCCACCCTTATAGACAGGTATCCTCAAATATGAGTGGCCAGCTATATATATATAAGTTACACACACTATGAAATTTACATTCAGATTCCCATCAAAATCAAGTCTATAAATACGAAGTGTTTAAAAAAAAAAAGTTTTATACAAGCTTAAAATAGGCAGTTAATAAAAATGAACTAATCTCTAATGATGGCAGACAAAATTCATGACCATTTCTAATCTCAGTGAATACAGTGTTGTAAAAAAAAAAAAAAAAAATATCAATTATCATCCTTAATAACTAATTTTCCAATTAAAGTCTTGAGTGACTACAAAGTCACTCAAGATTTTAATTGGAAAATTAGTTATCAAGCATCAAGGATGGTAATTGATAAGTGGTTTATACTGCAACTATCTAGCCAAGGTTGCTATGTTGACAGAAAAATATAAATCAATAACTGAAATGTTTACAACATAATTATGAAGAGCCATTGCAATACAGTACAGAAATAATTTTTATAAACACAAAAGCAAACCTATCCAATTGTAATGCTTTAAATGTCCAATGATGCAGAATTACCTTTTAACCAAGTTGACAATTCTACTTTACCAAGATAGAATTCACTTTACACACTGACTTGACTGACAAGGTTTCAACTGTGAATAGTGTTAAAATGGCCAAGGGAAATCAACTTTTCCTTGAAAAGTAAGTTTAATTTCTAATCTTCAGAGGTAAACAGAGGAAAAAAATACCCTATGATAAAGCACTCACTTTAATTGTTCAAAAGAAAAGTTTTATTTTTTGCCTTAAAAGAGGGGAGAAAAAAAAAAAAACAAAAACAAAAAAAGACATGTCAAGCAATCGTAATTAATCAAATATTTAATCCCTAAAATGTAGAGCATGCCCCTGAATGGATTTTTTTTTTTATCCTACATTATTATTATAAATGTTATTTTTACTGGGTAGACATGTTAGAGTTGATATCCTTTTATTTTTTTTAACAGTTAAATTAATAACAACCAGCCTGAACTGTACCACCTGATAGAACCCTGATGAAAAAGGGATACAGGTTCAATCCTTGTCAGGAGTACCAACTTTTCTTCAGTAGGACTTCACAGTTTCAGAAAAACCCGGGAAACAGAGATAGCAAGTCAAACATAGTAATAAGATTATATATTTCTTAGTAAATTCCTGGTGAAGAGTAACTTTGGAGAGAAAAAAAAAAAAAAAAAAAAAGCAAACAAGGTTAAACAAGTTTAAAATATAGAAAAATGGTAAAATGTTTTGACCAGGTTGTTAGCATTGATCTTTCAAGATTATTGATGCTGGGTGCAAAGAAAATCATTCTTGCTTTAAAATGCAACAGCATGTATAAATATCTTGAGAAATTCAAAATAAGTTATTTTATAAAATTAGTTAACTGACAAGTTAAAAAAAAAATATATATATATATATATAAATAAAAACCTATTTGGGATTGATCAACTACTTATAAAAGACTCATTACATAGTAGAAATTTTATATATATCATTTTTTTTTTGTTTAAGGAACCAAGAGTTTTTTTGTTTTTTAATTCATACAAAGATTATTAGTGCATAACTTACCATCATCAGAAAATCCAAATGTTTCATCATTTCTTAAATCATTATCTTCTTCATCTTCTGGTGCTTCAATTAATTCATTATCATACTCTCCCAGTTTTCCTGCTCCAAGAGCCTGAAACAGAAAAGTAAAATAATCTTTTTTATATATATATATATATATATATATATATATATATATATATATATATATATATATATTTAGTCTACAAGTGTCTGTACATATGCCTATATTCAAAAGTAAACAATTGAGCTGGATATTATAACTTCTATAGCTTCAATCACTGAATCCAAAAACTGGTCAAGCCCTAAAGTTAGTTTAACACTGAGCAATGTCAAAACTGTTACTATAGTAAGATCTGTGAATGTTGCTTCCCTCCAATGTTCAATGTTCAATCGTGTGTGAGGAACTGAGGTTAGAGAGTATAAAATGAATAAAACAATAAGGCGAATTTTCCCCAAGGAAAACTAGGTTTCAACAAACAAAAATGAAGCAGACATTCATTTTAGTTATTCAAAAAGAGAATATTAAATTGCAATACTTCATTGTTGTATTTCAAAACATTGTTTAATTTACCCTTCCAATCAAATTTTAAAAATGCTCCAGCAATTGAAAGAAAAACATAGCTAACCTGAAAATTGTCAAGCCTTAATGTTAGTCAAAACAAAAAAATGTACACTAAAAGATATTTAAATTTTTTTTAAAAATAATTTAATAAAGTACTAAAATTCCTTCCTTTACAACAACTTTCAAACAAAAATAACGTTCCAAATGTTTTATTTTATTTTATTTTTTTGGTGTGTTATAGAAAATTAAAGAAACTAGTTAAGACAAAAAAAAAAAAAAAAAAAATTTACTGAATTTTAGTAGTACTCTTCTGGTTGAAAGAATCATAATTTTATGATTAAAATATACATTCAAGACTTATTTCAATGTATTTTCAATGATTGGCTCAATGCTTATAAGAAACAAATAGGAAGCGTTTATTGAATCTAACAATGTTTCACGTTAGTCACTTTTATGTGGGAAAAAAAAAAGTAATGTAGAAATTCAATGCTTATATTAAAAAAGAAAAAAAATACCACTGATGTATGCCAAACCCAAAGTATATAGATTTCATTTCATGAAAAGAAAAAATCCTTTCAAATATTGTATTTAAAAATAAAAAAATAAAAAAATCATTTTCCTAAAATATTTTGTTTTTTGCTTTATTTTAAAAAATAAAGATAAAAAACTAAAAAATTCAATTGGTTCAACCTGGAAATTTAAATTAGAAGTCTCTCAAAATTTTAATTTCATAAAATAATAAAATTATTTTTGCATAAAGTAAAGAGCTCATAAGACTGAAGATTTTTGTGTACTCTTGTACAGTTATTCTGGAAGTGCAATAAACTCAAACAGTTTTTAAATACAAAAGCAAGCATCCATAAAAAAAAGTTTACATATGCAGACTGACTCATTTGTTTAAAAACTTAATATAAAACAAAAGTTGCTTCTTTTGTGTTTCATGTATTGTAAACTTTTACATGAAACACAAAAAAAGCAATTTATGTTAAATTAAAAAGACGAATAAATTACACATGTCATAGCAGAAATAAAAATTGAGAGCCTTTGCTCAACATTGAGACAGACTGCCACTAAAAAAGATACTGTGTTGTTTTTAAATAAACAAAAAAATCTCTACGTCATTGCTGTTTTTGATGGTCTCAGAAGACCCTACCACATACAAAAACATAAGATCAAAATATATATATTTTTTTTATGTTGAGGTCTAGTATCCATCAATACTTGTGATTTCTAGCCTAACTCCATAAAAATAAACTAGTTAAAAAACAGTAACACTATTTTTAATATCGTTGTTTTTAAATGAATCTCATGTGACAAATGTTTGTCACAAGCCCAATATCCTGAATGATACGGATCACATTTTGTGTTCGTTTTTGTTATTTTACAAAAGTGCAGTAGACTTTTTTGCTGTAAAATTTTTAGAACCAATCCATTTTCATTTTTCAATATCCTGTTTATGATGTTAGAAGAAAATGAGAACCATTAATAATGATTAGAATATTAAAAATTTAATTTATTTTAATATTTTCAAATAAGTTGAGATAAAAAAATGTCTTTAAAAATTATTTTCTAGTTATTTAGAAAATATGAAAACTAAGAATTTTAATTTTACTAAAAATTAGTATGAAAGAAACCTACCATTTTTATTATTTATAACTGCTTTTAAACTGCAGAGGGTTCCCCCCCCCACCATTTTTCTAACTTAAATAATTTAAATTTTGATACCCAACTGGTTTTAAAAGTGTGAAAATGAAAACGAAATTCCCCAACTTACTCATTTAGTCGGCTCTGATGCTCAGTAGAAGTCAGAACTGATCAAAATATATTTAAAAATTGTTACCATACTAAATTTTTATACATATGCATGTTTACGTAAAAAAGATATATATAAGAAAAAAAAAAATTAAGTAATATTTTTTGACACCAAGTCGTTACAGCAGCTTCTTGAATGTAAAAGTCTTCATGTAAATTTTATTCAGTTTCAATTACTCGGTTAAGAACGCAAATTGGTTTTAAAAAATGTTTTAATTTACACTTTACTGTAAAATTAAATCTTTTTATAAATTTTATTTAATTTAAGAAGGAAAAGTTCAAGTGATTTTTAGGAGACTCAAGTATTGCTTGCCTGGGCAGGGGGAGACATTTAAAATTATAATTTTCACGTATTTAATCAATTAACTTTTAAGTAAAAAATAGCTTCAACTTCAAGTGTTGTTAAAATGGAAATCTGAATAATTCGACAAATAGTGGATATTTGCATCCACTGACTACTAGTAGTAGGCATAAAAAATGTTCACGTTGTCGTATTTCAAAGTTTTTTTATGGTTAAAAGATGCAAAAGTATATCACTTAAATCTTAAGTGGAATAAAATGATAAAAAAAAAAAAAAAAAAAAAGGATTATCTTTTGAAAAATGTCTTAATGTGGATGAAAAAAATTAAGTAAACGTTACTTTTTTTTTTTTTTAAGGTTTTTCTTTCTTATTGGAGGGAAATAACCCACGCGATGAAATTAAATAAATAAAAATTTTAAAAGGGTGTTACTGTTAGTACAAGTAATTCTTAGAATTTAACAAATATTTCCCGAGTGGAATTGTCAAATCTCGTTCGTGAAGTCAAATTAAATCAGGAAATATCGATAATAATCGAATTACATAGCATTAAAAGCGAACTTAGAGTTTTTTAAGCTGTAAAACTTCTTTTTTTTTAATCATGCTAAAAAAAAAAATATAAAAATTTAGTTTCATTATCCTAGCCTAGTTTTATAAATTCAACTAAGTCGCAAAAAGATTTGTTGTGCCAATTTTATTTTATTTTTTATATATATAATCTGGTTCAACATGGAAAATGGACAACTATCTCACTTAGTAGACCCCTAAAGAACTTTAAGAATTTACGAGTTGAGATATCGACGAAATTACTGAAAATTAAGAAACCCCAATGAATATTGATTGGACCAATATTCCTGCCAATGAGTCTTCATTTAAAAGGGTAAGCATTTTTTTTTTTTTAAATGAACCTTAACAAAGTGGAAGATGTTCAAAGGAGTTAGAATTCATTCAACTACAATAAAATGGGATGTTTGGGTTTTTTTTTTTCTAATTGAAATTTTTAGGGTTTGGAATTTGAGTCGAAATGAAATTAAAAAAGCTTTTTTCTTTCAATGAATAAAAATAAAAGGGGTAATAATGTCACTATGAAATGATAAATTATCTGATAACCACAAAAAACATCCAAATTGTAAGTAACAAACGTTAAAAAAGGCACAGAACATCTATGGACATTTTACTTTTAAGGCCCCAGATAAGCACGTGTTTTTCTAACTTAGATCATATTATGGACCTTTAGACCAATTGGTAGGGTTTAAAAAAAAATTTTAATTTTGGAGGCGACAGTTCAGTTTTTGCAGTTCCATCACTTAGTGTTTGTTTACCTGGAGGCATATTTTTTTTTTTTTTTTTATATTTGGGTATGAATATATAAAAATAAGAAAAATATCTATTTGTAAAATAAGGTCTTAATTAGTAATTTTTTTTTCATTACGTAGTGAAGTGATTTAAAAATATTGTTCAAAACGGCAAGAAATATAATTCTCAGATTTACACATCTAAACCTAATTTAAAAACGTCTATAAAAAAAAAAAATTTAAAAATGAAGTCAGTTCACTATCAGTGTAAAAAAAGATAAAAGGGGATTTATTTTCATACATTACATTTTTTTACGTTACTATTCTTCAGTAACAAATCAATTATAGAAAACAGTAATAATTGCAACTATTCCGATAAAATTAAATATAAAAAAAAACAAATTTAAATACATTCTCTCTCTCTCTATATATATATATATATATAGATATAATAATTTATGGAATAATATTGGCGCCGTTAGAAATGAACAAAAACAAACAAGTTAAAAAAGTAGAAACCGTGAGGTTGTTCGCAAACAAACAAAAAAAAAAAAAAAAAAAAAATCAATAATAGCTTAACTTCTATTCCTTTAAATTATTTTAAAGCTAAAATTTACCAATACAAATTCGCGAAACAAATTATAAATACAGTAGTTAAAACGATACAAGAAAATTAAAATATATTTATTAAATGTTTGACAAAGTAAAACAAGCTCTTTATATGTGCGTCACTATCTTTTTTTTTAACAAGTGATCCCCCACTTTGAGGCCACATTTCTGTACAGCTTTCTCCCAGGCAAAAGAAAAACGAAATAAACATTTTTACATCGTAGTTATTCCAGATAAATGTAGATAGGGACATGGTTATGTCAATATTAAACAACAATGACGAATTTCACCCGCTACATTTCCAGCGTAAATGCCAGTCAGACATACACACGTAGTTTTTAACTGCTCCTTTTATTATTTTTTAATGTTTAAAAAGTGAGTTCCGTAGAAAGCAATAGAATACAAATATTTTAACAATATATCCCATGTAAGTATTCCTTTGCTGTATTAGTGGTACACGAAGATATGCTTATTTTTTTGTTCTTTTGTAGAATACATTTCACCAATATCAATAATACTCACAGAAAATTCTGAATCGTATTCCAAAATTGAACCGTCCATGTCAAGTCATTTTTAGCTTCCGTTCCGTTCCTTGACTTAGTAAAGCAGGTCGAATACTCTCAACACCAACATTTACATGAAATAATATCAATAAAGCGAAGTGAGAATAAACAAAAACATACGCAAAAATACACGACTAACTATTATTTCTTAAGTTTTCTTTAAAACTTTATCTAAATTGTAATTTAAATATTGAAAAAAGAGGTGAAAAAAAAAAGAAGTGGAAAATAATGTAATCGTGAGAGACAGAGGCTATGGTTCGAGAGTATAGGCAACCTTTGCTTCATTTTTTCCGCCATTATTCGCCTTTCATTGCGACGAACAACGGAAACTCCCGAGTATAGCCAAACAATTCCTGTTTATCTTATTCAGAAACTTTACGTCCGTTTTCTCGTCAGAGCTTAAACGAAAATTAGTGAAGCAATCCAAAATAGGTCTCTGAGGTAACAGGGGATGTCTGAAGTGGACATTTCCGACTCCCTGCCGAATGGTGACGACGATTCCGCCTTCCCGGAGGAGGAGGCCGCCGCCTCCGACCACCCTGGCGGGACGACGGCGGATAGTGTCTCCTCAGCCCCTCCTGGAGTGGTGACCAACCAGGGGACCATTCCTGCAGACCAGGTGTTTGTTGCGACATCACAAGGCTTGCTCACAGCCGAGCAACTACAGGAGGCCGGCATTAAGACAACGCATATCGTCATCCATGATCAGACTTTGAATGTCGGAACAGGGGATGACGATCCTACCCAATTGAAAACTAAGCAGGACCAAGATCAAGACGTGCAAAAGGGTTTCAAATACCAGTGGGACGAATCGGTACATTGCACCATTCTACCTGTCAGGTGTAAAAATTCCAACGGCGAGCTTCACAAGAATAAATTTGGATCAGGTCAGTAGCTCGTTGTTAATTCATGATGCAAACAAAACGAGATGTTTATTATTGAAATTGTTTTTTTGTTTTTGTTTTTTTTTGTAATATTGTTTGAAATTACTTTTCCAGGGATTTAGAACCAATTATTCCTGACCCCATAAAATCAAGGGATTCTGTAACTTGTTGACATTTATGATTAAGCGGTTTATTTTGCAAGCCTAAACAATATAATTTTTTAACAATAACATCATAGGCATCGTCAGTCAACTTATGACCTTAAACAACGTGATATAAGAAGATGATCCATGCCTTCAACAATAATATTTCATACAAAATTACAAAGTTAAAAAAAAAGACATTTTTAAAACATTTTTCAAGACTGTTAATTAAAATAACGCATGAAAAGCTTTCGTTATTTTTTAAGTTTTAAATGAGATGCGATTTTATTTATTTATTTTTTTGATCAAATCGTTCTCATCAAATTCGTTCAAAAAACTATTTTTTTAATGTCTTTATTATTGCATACTAGTGACATTGAGAAAACTTACTTGATTTGTTGTTAATCTTTCAATCAATTTTGTACAGAAATACTTTCTATGAAAAATGTTGTTTGTTCCTGCTGTGAATGTTTGAACAACAAGGCAATGTTGTAGTAGAAGTAGAGGAAGACAAAGATATCAATTGTGGATTTCGTAGGGCTACACAACAAAATTAAATCTGGATTTTTTTTTAAAAAAGTAAATATACCAAAATTGTAGTTCAAATATTTTTACTGTAATTTAGTAAAATCTTTATATTACTGTTTTGTTTTCTTTTTTTTTTTTTTTACTCAGCATTCGGAGGTAAAAAAAAAAGGGGGTATTTGTTAGACGTACTTCGCAAAGATTAAAAAAAATCAGACTCTTTAATGATCAAAGAAGGTCAATATTTATCTTTTTAAGATAAAAAAAACAAACCCGAAAAAATAAGTTTCTCCTCCCTCAAAAATCAAAAATGCTCTAACATGCCAAAAAAAAAACAAAGATCTGGTAAAAATTTTAGAAATTCAGTTTGACAGCCAAATTATTTTTCTTTATTCCGTATTTTTGTTTGTTTTTTTAATTTTTAAGCATTTTTTATAGAGCAGCGATAGTTATACAATCATTGACAAGATCTCTTTAAAAAAAAAAACTTGCAAAATATCTTTTCATTTTTTTTATTATTATTTCATTATGCAGGACTATTATTTACTAATTTACTCTGACGAAATAAAGTTTCTTTGTTACGCAGAAACCTACCAACCCCTCCTTACAATGTTTAAGAAAAAAAACATGTCGCAGTGAATTTAAAAACTACATGCTGACCTCATTAAAGGGAGATTGAAAAAAGAACCCTGTTTAATAATAAATAAGTTTTATTATTTTAAGGGTTATGCAAATTTAAAATTGTTTGCATCTTTCAAATATTGATCTTTATGAACTATCGCTAAATACGCTTCAATTTGGAAATAAAAAAATCATAATACTTTCTTCAAGTTTCACTATATGTGGATTTTATTGTGCTGTCTTTTTTTTTCTTTTTGACTAGTTTTACAAATTCAACTTTTAATATTTTTCCTTTATTTGCCACTTGTAAAATATTGACAAGTACCTGACAAGAAGATTAACAGAGACGTTCTCTTCTTACTCTTTGGAAATTAATAATACGTTTTAAAGGGTTCTTCAACTGATGCTGGTTCGCAGAAAATTATGGGTCATCATGAAATATTAACTTAGTCTTAACACACTGTTTTTTGCATTAATTAATCTAATTTATTTTTAAAACCAGTATATTGTAAGTAAATGCTATGGTTGCATTGTAATTTGGTTGGTACTTTTGATTTCTGTTTAAAACAAAAAATATATTTTAAATTTTATTTTTAATTCTGGGTAGTAAATATGAAATGTAGTTAGATAATTAATTGCGTAATTCAATGTTTATAAAAAATGTAAGCAACCAAAACTGAAGGGAAACTGGCATATTCGTAATAATTGAACATAAAACAAAATAGTTGTCAATCAAAGTCAAAGTGGTTGACTTTGCTAATTGTTTTGACAGATATTGAATGAACATTTTTATTTTATACTTGGGTGAATGACAAAATAAAACACTTTTTTGTGATTGTTAAATATGGCATGTTTTGTGATTGTTAAATATGGCATGTTGAGTGAGTCAATTTATTAAAAATATTGCAGATGTCACAAGTAGTAATAGGCAACATAACGAACAAAGAGTTCAAATTGTTTTGAATGTTCGTGACTCTTCTGAAAGTTTTTTTTTTTTTTTTTTTTTTTAGAGAATATTGCAAATTTTGTATGAGAAAGTAATGTTTTCCTAATTAATTTTAATGGCACTCAGTGAATTAACGGTAATCTCCTTTTTTTTTTTTTATTACCAAAAGTTAGATGGAAAAAAGAAAAAAAATCACTACAAATCTGAAAAACAATCTTTCTTTAACCAATTAAAAAAAAGTCAAATGTCTTGTTTTTATTTTAGTACTACTTGCCCTGCTTCCACTGAGTCAGTAGTATTCTGTCCAGGGAGTTCAATCCCTGGACCAGGTAGTATAAACAACCGCACTGGAAACCATGCTAGCAATAATTGACCTGTACGATAGAAAGAACAATACCAGATATCCCTACACATAGACAATGAAATGACAATAAGCCTATGTAGATTATAGTTCAGTTCAAAATTCTCTGAAGAAGGCCGATGGTTAAAACGGCAGAAATAATCCCCCCCTCCGAGAAGGAATGGGAGAAGAGAGAATGTTCCTTTTCTTAAAAGGCATACAATGAAGACTCTAAATGTGTGAAATTTAAAAAGTACAACAAACATTAAAACAATATATCAAATTCAAAATACAATATTTTCTAAGGTAAACTTGCACAAAAATTCCCTTTTATGCACCTTATTAAAAGAAAAAAAGCATGATAACATAATTAAATGATGTTAAAAGATTAACAAAATAATCTTTAAAAAAAATAGAAAAACTCTGAGAAGGTAATACAAACTTTGAATAAGGCAGAAAATACTTTTTTTTTTTTTTTTTTTTTTTTTTTTAGGTGCACCCACCTAATAAAACAGGTCTGAAAAATAATAGAACGTAGCTTTGGCAATTTCAAACCACTGGTGTCACTAGGGCTTTTTACAATTTCTTTTATAGAACACAGTTCTATTCACATGCTTCTCATGTGCCTGGCTAAAAATTGCTTTCCTTTCTGAGTCCTTATCATTCTTCCTTCAGGATGAGATTTTTTTTTTTTTTTTTGTGACACTTCATCTTCTGTCTTGATCGAAATATTTGATCTCCTTTGGAATTTGATTGCCTTCTGAAGCTCATCTGCTGACCCCTCTCTTTATATAACAATTAAAAGGGCTTCAGACAGGCCTTAACTTCAAATTTACATCACTGTAAGTCCATGCTTCTGGTTAGATAATAAATAGAAATAGTATGTATTTTTTTTTTTTTTTTTTTTTTTTCATTTAAAAAATGAATTTCAAACAATCCACCTTGACCAAAATATTTTTTGGCAGTTCTTTTGCAGCCAATTCTATAAATAGAAATTTTCACACACAAATGTAACAATTTTTCATAAACCGTCTGACTTTCTTTAAAATACACTTCTCTAAAACTGTGTATAAAACAAAAAACAATTAAAATATTTATTTACACTTTTTAATTATTTTGTATTAATAAAAAAGATTTTTATAGAAACACGAACAAAGACGAGAACATTAGTCTGAATGTAAATAATAATTTTAAATAATGAAACAAAATTCATTTCATAAGATTATTTAATCTGTACTTTTTAAAGTAGCTTTGAAGAAGGAATGGCATGTTTAAAGTAGAATAAAACATGTAATTTTTTTCTGATTTTTTTTATGTCTATAACTTTATTCCTCAAAATTTAAATTGATATATAATGACAGGTTTTATTTTATATACATTTTATCATCACAGATTCACAATATCTAATGATTAAGATTAATTTTAAAAATGAAAAATCGTTCTTGAAGCTTTCTTTTTAGCTTTAATTCAAAGACAAAGGAATAAATTTACTATACCCAATAAGGAAAAAACTTTGGTGTATTTAAAACTGAATTTATATTGATTGGCATACACTTTTTTTGTTGTTTTCAGTAAAATCGATGTCTGCCATTTTGAGACATTTGTAAACAAAAGTTAAATTCTATGTTTTAAAAATCTTGTAAAAATAAAATGTAAATTTTTCAAAGGATTATTTGAGAAAATTTAAAGTTTAATCTAATTTGAAACAAACATTAATTGCTTGTTAGCAGGAAAAATGTAGTAGAAAATAAAGCATTTCTTAACTACAGTGATTTGTTTTTCAGGTGTTGATTGATGATATTGGTAGCTGAAAAAATATCAGCTGATGGATGAACAGAAGTGACATAAATTTTACAAATTTTAAGTGACCTTATTTAACTATTCCATAGTTTTTGCAAATAACAATTTTTTTTTTTCTTTAGACTATATTATCCTTAACATATATTATTCATAAAAGCAATTAAAAGCTTTTCTAGTTCAATAATGTCTTAATTTTATTTGTTTTTTCTATTTTAAAATTCAGTGCTGGTTTTTGGTAATTGGTTGTTCGATTTTACAAAACAAAATTGATAATTTAAATTCTTCAAAGACTTCTGCTTTTAACTAAATATAATTAATAAAGTTTACAACTTTGAATTTCTCCAGCTTTCATAAAATTAAATGGTGGTGGGGTAACAGATGTAAAAAAAAAAAAAAAAAAAAAATGTTTACCAGGACTTTTTAAAATGATTTCATTCATTTGTGAACAAGTTCTGAAAGTTGCATTAAAATCTGACAATTATTTGATTTCTGCGAAAATTTCCAAATTAATGTGTCACTACAAAAAAGATGATAAAATTGGCTGTTTTATTCCATAGTCCATCTGCTGATACAAGAAAAACAAGATTTTCAATTAAAATATTGAATGTTCTAAAAAGGTTGAAAAGTTTTACTAAAATAATCTAAAAGAAACTTTGGTCTGTCCTCTTAATGTAAAGATTTTGACAATAAAACTTAGTTTTTGTGAAGTTTGGGGCATTTTTTATCATAGTATGCCATTTTTCGGCAAATTCGTGAATATCTTTAATTTGAAAGCTTGCTATGTTGCCATTCAAAATGTTCACCCCTCCCCCCCCATTTACTATTTGAAATTGTTTATATTATCTGGTTTCTCTGAATGCATTAGACAGTACTTTTGTAATTTTGTACTGTTGACAGTTATAGACATCTTGTGACTGTCAAATTATATTAAAATTTTCCATAATTTATGCAGAGAAGTTGATTATTATGTGTATTTTAAGTTATCCTGGCAACACAGATTTATTCAATGTCATAAATTTTTGTTGATAAAAATTAATTTTTTCTAATTGAAATGGTGAAGAAAATTAACAATTACACAATCAGAATACTCCCTGAAATAGAGTTTTAGGATCCTAATCAGTAGCTTCTTTTTGTCCTTTCATTTTCATTTTTATTTATTTTAACTTGAAGACTTTTCATTACATTGAAGATAGTTATTATTTATAGGAATAATCAAATTATGCAAATATTCTTTTGCAGGAATTTTTTCTTTGAAAGATAAATTTGTAATTATCAGCTGTTACATTTACTTTAACATTTCAACTATTGAAGACTGCAGTGTAGGGGTTAATTAATTTACAGTGACAGATCAGTAAGGCTAATTATTTACTTTGAGAAAACTAACTAAACCTTGCTATTCCTCCAAAGTTGATCAGTGTAAGCCAGTTATAAACTCATGTTATTATATAACTGAATCATAATCTAACAGCACATGCTAAAAATAGTTGGTTTGTTTGCCAAGCTATAATATGCCCTTGACACTTTTTGTCATGAAAAGTTAATACAGGTGGCATATCTTAAATTTAAGAACATAAATTTGATTTCTATAAATTATCTAATGCATGTCATTTGGTCCTACAAATTAAAGATGAACTGTTGTTATTCATGTTGATATAACTAGTATCAAAACTAAGACTTGGTAGTCTAAGTGAAGGAAATACTTCCTAGTAAACAACATTTACTGGCCTGAACGTGCGAGAAATTTTCATAGAAGGTATGTGCCCTCCCACAGGGATCGAGCCCGTATTCTACATGGAACTGTCATGTAGCCCAACGTGCTATACCATTTTAGCTGCAGAGGAGCAACTGGTAAACACAGTCGATTTTACTGCTTTTAAACTACAATCTGCCATGATTTCCTTTGAACGATCATATCTGCTCGAAGTGTATCTAAAACATAAACAAATGTCACACACTATGAAATGGACAAAGTTTGACAATTATTTTTAATATTTTTTATTGTTATATGTTATTTATATAGACACAAATATTTAAGTAAATGCTCTGTTTATAATAAACAGTATTATAAATGTTCAGGCTGGTGAATGTTATTAATACTGTTTATTATAAACAGAGCATTTACTTAAATATTTATGTCTATATGAATAACATATAACAGTAAAAGATATTAAAAATAATTATTAGACTTTGTCCATTTCATTATATATATATTATATATCTTAACATAACCCAAAATTAAGAGGGGCAAAAAAAACTCTTTCTTGAGGTGGAAAAATAAATGTATAGTTAACTATTGTTTACCTTTAACAGGTAACTACTGATAAACAAGAGTGTAGAATGAGATGGGCAGGCAAATTAACTTTTGATTTAATGACTGTTTAAAATATTTTATATAGCTATGGTTACTTTTTTTTCTCTATGGTTTTACATTTTTGTGCTGAATAGATCAAATTAAGTTTTTTCACATGAAATATCAATACTAAAAACATGCAAACACAAATTATCCCTTGTTTATAATCTTGAGAATTTATTTACCTAGAGGGGAATTGAAACCAATGACTGCTGCTTTTGCCTTTCTTTATTTAAAATTCTATTATTACAAATAAACCTTTATTTGTTTAGAACATTATCAGTTGTTATTACTGCAAGCAATCAGGCATTTAATAATTCACGATCCTCTATATGAGCTTGAATAAACAGAGTTACACTTGTACTGTTTAAGATACCTTGGAGGTTTAGACATGAAAAGCTGACCAAAATGAACACTTGTATAATAAACACCTAAAAATAGACTGTTTCTATTGAAAGATGTGTTTTACTGAGTGTTTTCATTGACTGCTTTACTCAGTGTACTCATATTTACTTGTCATTAACTAATATCAATAAGCATCAAAGCAGCTTTACTAAATATGAATATTGTAGCAAAAAATGCAAATCAAATACCTTGATAATTTTAGCATTATAGCAAAATAAACATTTCCACAATAGAATTCACACTTCAGTTATTTTGGCTGATTTTTGTCTATATAAACACTGCACCTTACATGATTAGCCATTTTGTTTTATTGATATATAAAATAAATACTTAATGGAATCTAAAGGTTTATTTGTCAAATAATGACAATACCTGTTTAATATAGAATCAGTTGGTTTTGCACAGATGTAAACAAATGGCAGATATTTGTATGTAATATATTAAATTTCAATGTCTTAAGTGAATAGATACATTGTGAGTTTGAAGCTTTAAAATAGGTCATAAGGCTTATTTGATAGATTATGGCAAAGGTTTAATAACTTCAGAAATTGCAAAATGCCAATGATGAAAATTATAAAGATTGTTGACAAGTACCGCCAAACTATTAAGAAGTTATTTTAAAATACTGAACAATTCCAATGCAGATTTGATAAGGGCAAATTTATGACTTCATCTTGTCAATCGGTTTGCCATATCAAGAGAGAGGTTACAAAATATCTTTTTTTTTTTCTTTTTGTCAAGCTATGAAATCTTTAATCATTGTGGCAACAAGAAAGTCTCAAGAAATACAATATATCTGTCTTAAATCAAGTGGTAAATGATCAATCACTAGGCTATTAAGAGATATTCATAAGGAAAATCAAATGAAATGGGTAAGAGAATAGATGAATAAAAAAATTTCAACTTTTTTTTTCTTTTTTTACTTTTTTTACTTTTTTTTTTTTTTTTTTTTTTTTTTTTTTTTTTTTTTAATCCCAAACATGCTGTTGTACTATCCTCAATGTATCCAACAGATAAAACAAAGACTATACGTGGTTACTAATGGGAACTTCCTCTGCAAGTTGAGACCTCAACAAGTCAAGTAGTATGATATTTTTGAGTTGGAATTATAGGTGTGCCTTGGTGGACACGGTATTAAAATGGAATTTTAGCATGCATTTACTTTATTTGAAAGGCATGTGATGCATGGAGAAATACTTCAAGAACCAAACACTTTTAGAAAGCTTTGCACCATTACATTTGGTGAACATCTGAATAAAAATGGGTTTCAATGACAATTGAAGTGGCTGGCTTTTCTGCCTGACCATTACCTGATTGAAATGTTGTGAAGCATTTTCAAGAGGAATGTTTATATTATAAACATGTAAATATTTCTTGGAGTTTCAGTAACATGACTAATGTAAAACCTGGAAAATTCAGTAAAATTCATAAAATCATTGCAATATCATGTGACATATCGTCTACTGCAATTTATACATATGTGAAATATCCGGCACATTATTAGTACAAATTTTTCTGTGCATCTTTTTGTTTGTTTTATAAAAAATATTACACAGAATTGCGCCCCGCCCTTTTTTTTTCTATTTTTTTTTTTCTTTTTTTTTTTTTTCCTTTTTTTTTTAACTTCCTAATATAGCAGTTGACAGTTTGGGTGACTATTTTTGTCAATTTTTAGCTGATACAAAAAAACAGAAAGATTCTTTTTCTTCTCTCTGTCTCTTTCAATTATTTCTAATAGCTGCACAAAGGAAGAAGTGATGACTCAGTAAAAGGTGTAGTTTCACTTTAAACATTCTGTGAAAATTGATTAGTTTTCATGCACTTGTTTATGGATATTGTTACTAGCATTTGTTTTATTCTTTCTACAAAGGGGTGCTAAAAAGTTCTCAACCCTTTTTCTAAAATCTGACCAAACATTAAAATTTTCTCTGGTTGGGCCAAGGGTCTTTAAGTACGCCCTCAGAAGAGTTTCTATATTGATTTTTGCTTTTCACAGTGAATATTTCATATTAAGATGCTTGAAAGTAGAAATTTCAAAAAGATAATTACAAAATTAACTGAAAGATAAGTTAAAAGTAAACTTTTCATCTAAAATAAAAATGATTTTTTTACAATTTTAATTACTAGTTAAATGAAAAATTGTTGGTTCATAAGTAAATACCTTATTTCATTTATTCTTAGTTTTTTTTTTTTGAATGATCTATTTATTTGAATAATTTTATTTTTTTTAATGTCTTAATCTCTCTAGCCTACCCACGTGCAAAATATTTTCTCATTATGGCTTTTTATTTACAGGTGGACGAGGAAAATGCATCAAAAGTGCAAATGCCTGGTACACACCCAATGAATTTGAGGCCTTCAGTGGTCGTGCAAGTAGCAAGGATTGGAAAAGGAGCATTCGATATGGTGGGCGTACTCTTCAGTGCTTGATTGAAGATGGCTTGCTACGACCACATGCAACATCTTGTACCTGTGCCGCATGTTGTGATGATGAGTCTGTTGTATGTATTAGTTTTTTCTAATCATGAATAGTCAATTTTTAAACTAAAAAACTATCAAATGCTTAAAAAACACACTCCTGGGCAAAAAGATTGTGGCAAATACTTTTCATCATATTTTGTGCAATTGCACTTTTGTTTTATTAAATGGAAACAAAATATGTAATAATATGCAACAAATATGCTATGTAGGTGTAAGCATATTTGAAATTATTGATAGTGTGTTTTTTTTGGGGGGGTGCACGTTTTTCTCTTAACTTTTAAAGTTAGTTGAGCATGATTTCAAAAAGATTTTAAAATGAATTAAAAAGTGAATGTATGTTTGTTTTTTTTTTGTTTGTTTTTTTTTCATATCCTCCAAAACATCTAAATATTATACAACTATTAAAGTTAAAAGCTATGTTGCTGGTCTTTGCCAAGCAGAAAAATTTTATCCAGATATTCAGGCCCTTTTTAAAGTCAGAAATATCCAGATTCCATTGCTTACATTCAGTGAATTTGTAAAAAAAATTACAAATGGCATGTTCTTGGATAGAGAAAGCAGTTTCTTGAAAAACCAATGTGACAACAAGCCAGCATGATAAAAGACTGTTTTAGAGTGTAGTTGAAACACTCCAAAACAATAGTATTCAGAAAATCATTGTATTTCAAGAAGGATTGAAGTGGTGTAAAAAGAAGCAGACTGACTCAAATTTTTATCACTTTATGGTTATCACTATACTTAGTGGTTTGAGTATGTGCTCTGGAGAGATAAGATATATTTGAGTTGTCTATCCATGCTTTAGAACACCATTTTCAAAGGTGAGATAAAAAATTAAACTCTAAATACAAATCTATCACAGTGGAGCATTGAGGAGAGGAGGAATTATGCCATGTGGTGTGTGGGGTCTGCAGCTGTCATTGGCAAACTGACACAATCATAAAAGCTGATTACTCTGAAGTGGTACTAAAATACATTACAAAAATGACTTCTGAGCCTAAACAAGGAGTGTGATGGAAACAAAATTTTTCATTAAAAGAATGCTCCAACACACAGTAAAAACAGCAAAATTATGGTTTATGAAGCAGTTATTACTTGTGTAGTTTTAGCCTTGTCAGTCGTCAGATTTTAACTCTGTAAAAAACATAAAGGTGCCTATTAAAGCCAAAAAGATTGAGAGGAAATTTGGAAATACTGACTAGTTGTGAGTAGTAGCAATGAATGGTAAAATATTGATGTGGCACACTAAGTGACTATCACACAATTTGCCTAAATCACTCAGTTTTCTGAAGAACAAAGGAAAAGTTATTTCTTGTACACACATACACGTTACATACATTGTCACATATTTCACTAGGTACCTGTACTAATTTGCTGAAAAAAAATACAAGTGGTAGTTTAGACATTTCTGAATGAATCGGACACTGCATGACATCCATATAAAAGTCTAGATTTGACAAGTTTATTTAATTATATAACTAGTTCTTTGGTCAATATTTTGGTTTTGTAGCATCTTATAGGGCTAGGCAAAAATATCCTTCATGCAATCTATCTTATATTCAAATTACTTATCGTGTCTATGTAAATTATATTATGACTATGTAATTTAGGGTATGCTCTCTATCAATCTCTTTATATTATCTTTTTTTTTTTTTTTTTTTTTTAAGGAAAAAAGTAATTATAAATCTTCTTTATTATAAAGGTTTCCCGTTTATTTTTCTTAAATATCTTCATATAAAATAAAATAAAATAAAAAAAACAAGAACAGCTGTCTGAAGGTTACTGGACATTATATTCAGTTGCTGAATGCTGGAAAACTGACTTACAAAATGTGTTGTAAAAAAAACAAAGCCAAGATTATTATGCAGTTTGATTAAATCAGTAAGTCATAAAAATGTGGATTGCTTATAAACAGTTTAAATCAATTGATAAAGACTGCATTATGATACTATGATTTACTTGCAGAATTGAACTTAAATAGTTAATATTTTATGCATACATGTGTATTAAAAATTAATAAATTTTTTAAAAAATCATTAAACTTTGTTCATTAATGGAACAGGAAAAAATGAAGCTTATTTTCAAATTGTTCCTCTTTTGAAATTGTAATTTTAGAATAAGAAATTCATAAAACTGCCATTTCTTTTTTTTTACTCCTTTGTCTTCTATAAACAGACTGGACCCATTCGATTATTTGTACCTTACAAACGTAGGAAAAGAGATAGTGAAAGTGGTCCACCTTCCCCAACTTTGAAAAAACAGCGGCCTGGCTGTCCAAAATCTCCAACAGTAGTGCCTTCCGGAATGCCAAAAGAAGGTGAGTATCAATTTTTTTCTCTCTCTCTTGTTTTCCCATTTTTTTATAGAGAAAAAAAATTTTATTTTTATTTTATTTTTTTAAATGTACCACAAAATTATCTCCTTAGCACAAATTCTAGTAACCTTGATAAAACTTAAATTAAAAAATAATTGACGTGATATCTGCAATCAAATCTTGCAAGTTTAGGGATATAAATATGTCTATCCTATGTTATTAAAAATTTTGATAGAATCTCAAAGGTTGATGAATTTGTAGTGAAAATTTTCTTCTAAAGAGTAAAGCAAGGTTGGCTTTTTAATATATTAAGAATAAGTTAATTTATTTTCTAATTTTCAGTGGTTATGTTAGATTATTTATATAAATTAAATATTTAAAAAATATAGATTGCTAAATGGCCAGTTGCCACATTAGTTCAGTAATCTTTTATTTGCAAGGGAAGAAAAGAAAGTTTAAATTTAGCATTAGTAGATATATCTGTTACTGTGGTATTGCATATTTTGCAATTTCACAACTGTTCTAAGAACAGTTGATAAAAATACCCACTATTAGGATTGAACTTTATACCGAATAAGTTGTTAAAGAAGCAAAATCATTGCAAGTAACTGTTTAAGTATTTATAGGATGGGGGTAATGCTGGTCATGACTTCAATATTTGATTTAGATAATCACCCTTTTCTAGTAGAATTTACTGGATCCCCTCTTAAAAGAATCCTTATTTAGTCAAAACACAGTATATGCAAATTTCATCTAACTATGCTTGTTTTTTTTTTATTTATTTATTTTTTAACCTACTACTTAACAAGAATTACTATATGGAAATAATATTTTAAGCCAAATATTTATATTTAGATAAGAATAGAATTTTTTTTTTTTTTTCTTTTTTATACAAAATTTATTTCAGGTGAAATATTATGGTCTTATGCAAATACAAAATACATGCAAATTCTAGCCAATCATACTTCAGTTTATTATATAAGAGATAAGCAAATAGAATAAATGCCCTTTTTTTTCTTTAAAATAAATCATTTCAGTCAGTTTTACTTTGAAGTACACAATTGAACTAAAATGATTGGTCTTGGGGAGGTTTCTTTAGAAGATAAAAGTAATTAATATCTTACTTTAAAAAAAATTAAAACTATTTTATAACTTGTTTACTGCTTCCACTTTTTCTGTTCTATTATTTTTCTAATATTATGTGGCCTGTGAGCATTAAGTGTTTCATGAAACAGTTATTTCTTTTTAAAATCAAAATAATTTTAGTAGGTTGACAGCCAATAACTTTATGTAAAAACATTTCTATAATATGTGATTGTTTCTTGTAAGATACCTTTTTTTTTTTTTTTTTTTTTAGAATGACTTATCAAAATTATATTAAACTAGAAATATTCATTATTCTTCCAAAAGTATACTGTTAGTGTAAATTAACATTTTAAAAGCTGGACTTTTTCCTTTTTATGAGAGCTCTGTTATTAAAACATATTTTTGAATGAATGCTAGGTATTATTTTACTCTAATGGATATAAGTGCAATTATATAATTACTAATGAAGGCATTTCTTTTTTTTTCTCTCTCTCTTCTCTCTCTCTCTCTAGTGGTTGTAACTTTACCAAGTGGCCAGGCACTTAGCCGACCACTTAGTGTTAATAATGCAGAAAATGGTGAAACTGTGCATATTGTAACAACGGATGCACAAGGAAACTTTGTAGCTGGAGGTGAGTGGAGTGACTTTATATATTCCTGCAGTTTCTTTCTAGACTACTTGATGGTTACTATACAAAAACATCTTATTAAAATGCATTGTTAGGAGGTTTCAGTATATCAGCATTTTTTCCCCATTTAAAATATGGAAAAACGGTTAACGTGTTCTTTTCTTTTTTCTTCCATCTCATTAATTTTAATGCTTGTGGAAATTGCATTTTAAGTAGCATTATAAAATCTTGTGACCAATTTTGTTTTTTCTTCCCATTGTTTGGAATATTTTATTCCCCCTATTCCCTTACACTATTACATAAAAAGCATATATGACATTGAATTTATCTTTTTCTTTAACCTCTTGCTGTTATGTATCTGCAATGAAATTCCATAATTAGTACTGTGTATTTATACCTAGGAACTTTAATTCCCCCCCAAAAAACTGAAATAAATGTTCTTAAAATTTTTTTCTGTGTTTTGTATTTTAAGTTAATTAACAAACCTATTAACAAATCTTTATATTCTATTCCTTCATGGTAAAAGTGATAGAAACTTCTTACTGAATTTTGTACAGGGAGAAATAAGTTTGTATTCTAGTGTGCATAAAATCCACTTGCTATTGTATAAATAAATATAAAATATTTTGTAAGTAGATAACCTGTAGAAATTTCTATATGAAGTGTTTGTATCCTTGAGGAAATCTTAACGTCTTCTCTTAATGTTACCACTTTGTGTAGGTACTGTCTTTTTGTACTTGAGTGAAACATTTTATAAAAATTCATTGTAATTTCTTACCAAATTACATTAATCCAAGTTGTTTTGGCTTTTGTTCTAGTCTTTCATTCAAATTAATTGGAAATTCTTGTTTTACTTGAATTTTAGTCTGAAAATGATGCCTATAGGTACATGTATTTAAAAAAAAAAAAAATATTTTTTAATTTTCTTTGCTACATGAGTAACTTTTTTTCAGCCCAAATTATGGAAAAGTATTTTTTTTTTGTTTGTTTAGGGTGAAGGTGTAATGCATATTAATCCTTCTGATGTCTATATTAACAAAAGTGCAATTTTTCACTTGCAAAAAGGTTTATCACTTAAGACAATAACTATTAAACATAAATAATTTTTGTGAAAACTGTGTTTTACAAATGTTTAACATAAATACTGTCCTATCACACTTATGTAGAATATAAATTCAAGAGATTGTAACAACTTTGACAAAATATAACTTGACAGTTAATTTTATTTTGGAATGGTGCCTTTTTTTTTTTTTTTTTTACATTGAAAAACTTCATTAAAGCTTTAAAATCTCTCAGCAATGGAATCTATAAATTTGTTTCTTAATAAAATAAAAAAATAAAAAAAATGTGACATTTTTCCTTTTATAGATGCTGTTGTCATGACATCTCTGGCTAATGCCTCTAAAACTTCTGTAACCAATGTATTAACAATGGATGTATCTGAACAGAAATATTGGTGGCAACTTGAAGAGGTAAGTTTCTTGTTTTATTTATATATTCATAAATAAACTTGTTCTGTAAAATGTTTTTAACTACTTAAATTTGATTTCTTTTATCTTTAAGTACTTGATAGTAGTTTAATTATTTCTTAAATGAGGAGTGAACGGCATAAGCACAGGAAAAAAGTTAAAAAAAACACATCTGGGGTAGCAATGTGCAATAAAATTTGAGTATTTAAATATTTATAGCATGTATTGTGTATAAATTGGGCCAACTGAAACGTGTTCAAATTATAGCACAATCTATTTTTTTTTTTTTTTTGTTCTCCACAAATATTTTGTTCTATATAATACAATGTCTAAAGTTTTCTCATTAAACTACTTAGTGTGTAATTTATTACTCATTTACTTAATACCTTCAACAAGCAAGTGAACATCCTATTGCAATATTTACCATCACAATCTAACATTAAAAATATTAAAATAAAAATGTGTGTGTTATTCTATTTTGCTTTGTGACATATAATCAAAGTTGAGTGATAGCAATGTTTTATTTCCAGATGGCCAATACCTTAGTACAGCAATCGCAGCAATTAAAAAGCATGATTGAGCAAGCAAAACATCAAAGCCTTGTTGCCAAGGAGACAGCGCTGCAACAGCTGAAGATTCAGATGGAAAAAGAAAAGCATGAAGTGAGTAGTTACTGCTTTTTTTAACAATAGGATTAGAATTATCAAGCCTATTTTTGAAACTAAAATAATTACTTAAACCAAGATTTTCACTTTTCTTTTCTTTTTCTCCTCCTCCTCCTAGAAATAGCAATAGAGGGTGTTTTGGGTGTGTGGTTGAATCAAATTTAAGTTTTTTTTTTTTTTTTTTTTTTTTTTGTTTTTTTTTTTTTTTTTTGCATGATAATTCTTTTTTAAATATTAGCAAAACATTCCTAGTGTTTGGTTGGGGGGGGATCAAGAAATTCTATTAAGGGAAATAAGGGGGTTTAAAGTTAAAGATAAGTTAAAAATAAGTGCAAAAGTGTAGGGAAATTTTTCAGAGTTCATTGCAATTTCCAACTAGATTGTAACCTTGTTTTCTAGTAAATCACCTTAAAATACCCAGCATGTTTTCTCTTTGAATCTATTGAAAGTACTCCTGAATTTAATTTGGGTTTTAGTAGCATACATAAATATACAAGCCTCCTAAACTCCACTGAGGAATATGACTTAATTTTAGTAATCAAATGTGAAGTTGTATTTTAGTGTGATTTGAGTAATTTTAATATAAGCACAAGCCATGAATTATCATATGTACATAATTTACTTCTATTTGCTGCTATTAAATATTCATTAAATGCTTCACTCTTATAGTGAATAAGAAAAAAATCATTATCCAGTCTTATTAAACAGTAGGGTCTATCCTGGTAGATTTCATGTCAGTGCTGAGAACCTCATTTCATTCAAATAATGTAATAACCTTATCAGTCCATAAGAGATTTCGGGTGTTAAATCTCTGGAATCCTGACAGAATTATTGAAAAATCTGCTTTATCTCAAAAACCATTGAAAATTGAAACTGACACTTTCATTTTATATGAAAGTTAATTGATTTCTGTTTCAAATGTTATCAAATTTAGGTTACATGGTATTACTGGTTATGAGATAACTTCGTAAAAGTTGGAGATTTCTGGAACCTTTAGTTAATCATGTGATAAATGTTAATGCTGTGTATTGAAATTAGGTGCTACCTGATTGTGGGTGCATTCAGGCATTCCCAGATTATAAGTGTGAAACTTGTGTGCGTATTAGGGAACTTCAGACCCTAAAGTGTTAAAGCTACTTAGTAATATTTTAAATACTTTTAAGACTGAATTATAACTTTGGAAAGTTATTTAGTATTAGGCATTTCTATAATTTATGTAATTTGTGCCCTACCTTATTCATACACATTTCTATTGAAATTAGTTCTTTTTATTCGTGTTCTATACTAGTTTACCAATGCTGCCAAAAATGGCTGTATATTTGAAGTCCTTATGACTTCTGTGTTAGTTACCATTGCAAGGGAGATAACGTGATTTAAAAAAAAAAAAAAAAGTTAGACATTACATTTTCCTATTAGATAGGTTGTTCATTTAAACAAACATTACCTGTTTTTATTTATTTATTTATATATATATATATATATATATATATATATAAAAAATGTCAGTGATAATACATTTGATAGTTTATAAGAATCCATTGCCATTTTTCTCTCATGGGGGGTGGAAAAGATTCCTAGTTCTTAAATGCTGGAATATCTGCTGTTTACCCAGACTTGACAAGCTGCTAATAAATGTACTGAAGGCTATTATATTATAATACTGTCAAATTAAGTGTAAATAGAGGATATCATATGCCATCAAATACAAAAATCTTTCCTTTCTCCCTTAAGAACTTGGTTTAGCATTTGTCATGGACTTATTTCTTTCTTTTTGTAGGCATTGAATACTGCAAGAATAGAAAATCATATGAGTCTTCAGCGTACTCTGATGGAAGAACGAGCTCAAAAGGATATTGCTGTACAAAGTGCTCTGGCCCAAGCTCGTGCCGAGATGCAGGACAACAGTGTGACCCTTGTTTCCAGCGATAAAGTAACTTATGCAGTTGCTTGGACTCATCAGAACACACAGGGTCACATTGATAGTATCATAGATGGTGATGTGGAAGAGGAGCTAGATAAAGACAAAGACTGAAGACATTAATAGAGGATTCATTTCTTTTGTTGATTTCAAGCTGCCTGAAGAACTTTAAATCTATTTAATCTGACAGACAGCCCGGTTACTTTCTCCATTTTTGTTAATTTGGAAACTGAATACTGATGACCATAAAGAAGTTGCTCAATGAAACACACTGCCACTAGCTCCAGTTTTTGGTTTAATAAATGGATATAGAAACACACAAACACATACATATAGTGTCCTAAACTGAATTAGATTTATATATATATATATATATATATATATATGAATCTGACAGGATGATAAAATAAAGAACAAATTGGGAACATGTATCAATCTAATGTTTCATTTTTATTAAAGCTTTATCAAAGATCTATGGAACATGTTAGACTGATATACATTTCCAATTTCTTTATTTTATCATATATATATATATATATATATATATATTAGACACACACACATCCTTACCTAAAGTCTGTTAAACCTTTAAATTTTAATTTATTCATAATTCTTCCAATCTTCATATATTTGTTGGGAAACATTTACAGATTTATCACCTGTTTTTTTTTTTTTTTTTTTTAAGAATTTTAGGTCCATGCTTTATTTAAAAAAATTTTTTTATACTCTTAGCAAAAAAACAATTGGTATCTAAATCATTGGATGATTGCTTATTTTTGGTTGTTCTTCCAATTAATGATAATTGTTTAACATTTGCCAATCAAAACAATTGTCATTGCTCTCAAGATGAGGCACTGCTGATGAATCCATTACAATACCCAGTCAGTTTTGTGACTTTCTGCTGTTCTCTGGAAGATGTTGAAAATTAAGCCAGTCCATTTATTAGTGGATGCTTCAATATCTTCTCCACCTTTCTAGAGCTTCTGGCTCTGGGCATGTTGTTAACATGTGCTTTGTATGAATATGTGAAAATATCAACTTTATCCTGATTGAGTACACATCCTGGTTTCAATGTTATGATCTTTGTTGACTTTCCCATTCTGTAAGAAGAGAAATGTTAAGAGGTTAAACTTAAGCCCATGTCATTCATTCTTTTAGTTAAATGGCGATAAGAATGTTCCTGTTTTTTTTTTTTTTTTTTTTTTAAATAAATTTAATTTAATCTACATCTGCTATTAGAGTTCTTTACCTCAAAATATTTTGTTTATTCACACACACGCACATAATGAAGAACATAGCATATATTGTAGCATAATTGATATCCATTTAAATTTAATATTACAGTATTATATGCCATTAGATACAGTAATTCATCAAATGTTATCTTGCCATAAATATACAGAAATTTTTCTACTTTTTTTTTCTTTCAACAGCTTGTCAATATTAGCTCTATATTTTTTCAAGAGACTTATATTTTTCCAATGAAAGCCTTTCAGAAAATTTTTTATTTTCTATAATTTTCATATTTATAATTTACATATATGAAAAAGGGAGTCTGTATTATTATGAGCCAATTTGTCTGATACAATATAAATTGAAGTAACAAAAATCTTAGCAAGTTACCTAATATATAGTACCTCCTATCATCGGAATAACATGAGCTGCACATTGCATTGTCTTGCTGAAACTCAGAATGTTAGCATTCCACACTACTTAAGACAAAAGGTTAGGGAGAAAACCCTATCAATACTGGAAAGAATGATAATGGCTGACTTGAAACCTATTATCCTGAAAAATTGTTTTAAGAGAAAGATTTTATAAATTTCATCCAACAGTAGCACTGGCTTTTCCGTCAATGCTAAATGTTTCCATTTAAGATGGCTAATACTGTTACCATGACACGCTAACCTATTACAGTGTTTTTAAAACACACTCAATGCAATAACTCAACCATCTGCTTAAAAATGCTGGAAATGAAACATTTGATCAAGTAATATGTTATTGGTCTTCCATTGTTCAAAAGCAATGCTCTTTGATCCTAATAAAGTTTTGTAACTGATACTGTGGCCTCAGTAATTGTAGCTCCATTGATTGATAACTTAAAAACCATATGAAATTTAATGTTGTACAAGGTGTTGATTATTGTGCTGAGCACAAGTGTTGAATGAATTGGGAGTTTGCATCTTTCTCAGTTGCCAACAATTATGTACTTATATAACTTGCTGTGACTGAGTAGAATAACTTATCAACATGGCAACTGGCAAGTAGTGGTTCAAATCCCCACCTATTTATTCCTTTGACCCAATCCCTTAGAAATGTCAGAATCCATCTCCTCTTCTGCACCCCTTAGCTATGGATTAAATGGTAGCTTAGACTAGGCTCTCTGATCTCAAATGGTGACCAGTTCAGGAGGAAGACTACCCCAAATTCAAGACCATGGAAAAATCATTCCTTTCTTTCTCAAGAAGACTTGGCTATTCTTAGATACTAAAAATAAGGATTAAGTGAACAGCTCTGGTCACACCTGTTATGAAGAGACATTTTTTTTTTTTTTTGGTGGGGTGTATCATTTAATTTTTATATATATATATATATATATATATATATATATATATATATATATATATATAAAATATATATATATATCCATTTTCATTCTATGTCTGCATCCCATAACTCTTGCCTAAATAAAATTATGAAAGCATCACTTAATTAATCCATTTATCTTTTCTTGCCCTAGTGAATTATTCTTGAAACAAAAAATCCTGTCTAAAATAGCCTTTTAACATTTTTTCTACCATTGCTTAAATAATATTAAAAAAAATTAAAATTATGCCTGTAAATACCAATGTATAGTGTTTTTTTTTTTTTTTTTTTTTTTTTACATCATTATAAACAAGATCCAAAAGGCACTTAATTAATTCAATTTTAGTTTACAATTTAAAGATTTATTTCTGAAGAAACTTTTCTAATAATTACATTTAGCAATTTCAGCAGTTAAATGATGCGAATACTGCCAATCTAAGGGGCAAACTTAGGGGAAGGTAAACCATCAGAACAATTACCATCAAAATTTTGAAAAAAGGGGACAACAAAATCTGAGATGTCAGATGAGGCCTATAATATCTAAACTAAAATAACCTTTTAACATTTTTGATATTTTCCCAAGTCATCCCTTTTTTAATTGGTTTGCATCAGCCATTCTGATTGCTAAAATGTAAAATCTTGTATACCATTATTGAATTTGATGTTAAAAAAATTATTAAAATATTGTTGCCTGAATACATACCATATTTTTTCAAATTTTAAATGAAAACCAAAAGTATAGTGTTTTTTTTTCAGTTTTTTGTTTTTTGTTTTTTTGTTTTTTTTTTTTTTTTTTTTTTTAAAATAGGTTTTGTGATGATAATTGTTTACAAAAAGGTAAACCCATAAGATCTTTTTTATTTTCAAAAGTTTATTATTATTATATAAAATAGCTTTTTAAAAAATTGCTGAGGGACTTTTTATTTTAATCATTTCACCCCAAGAAGACAATAAAAGCCACTAGAATGAAGAAAAAAGAAACAACAACAAAAAGGGGGGAGAGAGAATTGACAATTGACATAGTTTAAATTTTTGAAGATTATAGTTAACTGGAAGAGTTTCTGAAAGGTTAGAAGAAACTATTAAAAAGTGAAATTAAAACTAATAATTACATTTAGGGAATTATCAAAGAGGAAAGTTTTAAATTACTGTGGAAATATTTATGGAAAAGGCACAGGAAAGCCATTACATCATGAAAATCTAGTACTTTGGATTTTGTCACTCAGATATATAGGGGGCGTCAGACCAGATGTGTAAAAAATTCAAAACAAATGAATGGAAAACAATTACCATACAAAATATTTGTGTCAAAAGAAAAACCATCTTTTTGAGACATCATTTTTTTGTGGGTACATTTGTTAAACTTTTGTTATAAAAAAAACAAACATTTGTATTTTGAACATTTTCTACATTTCATCAAAGAAGAGATGTCTAGATGAGGCCTGATTTTCAACATCATCAATTAAATTATCTCCCAAAATGAGACACCTTGCAAACCTGAAGAACAGATTCTTAAAAGCATTTTGCAAATTTACAGCAATTTTAATTGTTTTTGTTTTAGCTTGATTTCTTATTTCTTTTGCTTACCAATGTATATTAAATAAGTTTTTAGGTAATTAAGCATTTGGGAATGCAATTTAGATATTAATCTCTTGATTCAACTGTTTGGACCTTGTCCCAATCTCAATTAAATTCATGAAGTCTAGGTACCATAGGGGAAAGTTCATCAGAACAGTTAAACAGTGAAAATATTTATAGAAAAGGCACATGGAAGCTACATTACGACAGTGGGAAAGTGACTGAAGCCAGGATGCTATGTCAGGACCATTAACATTGCAGATTCTTCTTTGGATTTTATCAAGAATCTCTAAATATATAGCAGAAGCACCAGACCATATGTGGCAGCGATATTCAAAGAATGGATGAATGATAAAACTTATAACTATGTAAGGTAGATTCTGGAGAGGACAATTATCTAGCACGACACTGAACAAATTTTCCTAGCAACAGACAAAGCAATTAATTCAATATAATCTCTTCACTTCATGTCAGCAGAAAATGTTAGTCCTGGAAAGGCACAAGTCACTCTCTTAGAGGTTAGCATCAGCCATTCTGATAGAAATCAGAAGTGGTTTCTTGAATGATTGATAGAGTGCAGTTTTGTTTTTGGAGGCATTAAAATTAACAAGCCGTCTCATTCTCCAGCTAACAGCAGATTGTAGGTCTATTTTTTTTTTCTTTCTTCTATTATTATTATTTTTTTTTTTTTTTTTAAAAGATTAGCTGCCAATTTAACCTTATCAAACTGATCAGATTTACTATTAAGGCAGGAGTAAATAGTTGTATTATTAGGAAGGTCATTGATGAAAATTAGGAACAATGTAGTTCCAAGGATAGAGGCTTGGGGGACAGCTATTAATACAGAAAGATCTAGAAGAGTGGCTGTTCAGGATAACTTTCATTTCGCAATTTGATAAGAAAACTGAATCAGTTCAAAAATTCATCCAGCAAGACCATAACCTTTCAAT